AACCTCAGAAAAACAAAACAAAACAAAACAAAAAACCCTCAAGTGGTAGAGTGTCTGCTTTGCAAGTGCAAAGCCCTGAGTTCTAACCTCAGTAGCACCAAAAAAAAAAAAAAAGGTAGAAAAGAGGATTTTGAATGTTCCCAACACAAATGTTTGAGGTGTTGAATATGTCAATTACCTGATCTGATTTTACACATTGTGTACAAGTATTGAAAATATCACACTGGGGCTGGAGGAGTGGCTCAAGTGGTAGAGCACCTGCCTAACAAGCGTGAGGCCCTGAGTTCAAACCCCAGTGTCCCCCCCCAAAAAAAAGAATGGTTAAAATGAAAAGTGACCAAATAAAGTGGTGGCAAGAGTATGGAGTAACTGAAACTCATATCACTGGGTGAGATGTTCAAACACTTTGGAAAACTATTGGCAGTTTCTTAAAACACTGCCAGACTTCCCAGGAGGCAGAGGCAGAGGCAGAGGCAGGAGGCTCATTAGTTTGAGGCCAGCTTGGGCTACAGAGTGAGACCCTGTCTCAAAAAGCAACAAACCCACAAGAAAAGCAACAAAAATCACATACCAGCCACCTGACAGCCACAACTCCAGGACTTTAGTTGAGAGGAATGAAAGCGTGCGTGCACACAAACACTTGTACACAAATGCCAGACCAGCTATAGTTATTAATTTATTGACAGTACTGGGACTTGAACTCAGAGCCTTGTACTTGCTAGGCGGTGCTCTTATTGCTTGAGCCACTCCATCAGCCCATTTTTGTGAAGGGTTTTTTTGAGATAGGGTCTCATGAACTATTTGCCCAGGCTGGCCTTGAATCTCGATCCTCCTGATCTCTGCCTCTTGAGTATCTGGGATTACAGGTGGGAGCCACCAGCACCCAGCTCAGAATTCATTTTATTTTAATTTTTTAAGAGGTGCTGGGGTTTGAACCCTGGGCTTTGCGCTTGCTCTATCACTTGGGCTGCACCCTCAGCGAACACTGTACTTAGAGTGACTCCGAGTGTGCACCCATGGTCCCAGGTATTTCAGAGGCTGTGGGGGGAGGATTGCTTGAGCCCAGAGGTTTCAGACCGGCCTGGACTCTTGGAAAGTGAGACCCTTTCTAAACAAGTAAACAAACAAACAGAGCAAAAGTCATGACAAGAATGAACCAGGCAGCAGAACCACGAGGTCATGGTTTCTCCCTAGCACACCTTGGTAGGTTGGTGCTTCATCGATTAAAAACAGAGGGAAACTTCCAGAAAGGGAAACCCAGAATGGCTCCTATTCGTGGAGCACTAAGTACCAGGTGTCACGCTCAGCACTTTCATTGATGTGCTTTACAGATGACGTAACCAAGGCTCCAGGACACCAGCAATTTATCTTGGTCATAGTCAGGGAGTGGCAATGCTCAGAAGGGGACCCAAATCTGCCTGACTCCAAAGGTAGGGTCTAAAAATAGGGCCTAAAAACTCTGAATTTTGTATTAAAAAAAAAAAAGTCTTTGGACTTACCAAAAAATACAGGATGGGCATGGGAGCTCACATCTGTAATCCCAGCTACTTGGGAGGCAGAGATTGAGAGGATTGACATTCAAGGCCAGCCCCAGGGGAAAAAAGTTAGCAAGACCCCCATCTCAACCAACAAACCGGGTATGGTGGTATGTACCTGTCATCCCAGCTACATGGGAGGCATAAATAGGGAGGATCTTGGTCCAAGGCCAGGGGTCTTGAGTTGGGCATAAACTCAAGACCCTTTCTGAAAAATAACCAAAGCAAAAAGTAAGATGAGAACAATACAGTGCTCTTCTGTACAAGGCTGCACCCAGCTTAAGATATCAAACCATCCTTATCCTAAATGTCCACCACCTCTGCCCCAATTCCACGCCCATTCTACCCAATGGCCACACTCTTGAACTTGGTGTTTGATTCCCCCACACTTCACTCTGTTCTTTTCTCCAAGCAAAATGCAGCTTTGACTTTTCTGAGTTTTAAGAAAAAAAATTTGGTAGTACTAGGATTTGAACTCAGGGCTTAGTGCTGGTCAGGTGCACTACCACTTGAGCCACGCCTCCAGTCCTTTTGGTTTTAGTTTGTTTTTTCGGACAAAGACTTGTGGTTTGGCTTGGGCACCCCTCAAATAGAGATTGTCCTACCTCCACCTCCTGAGTAGTTGGGATTACAGACATGCAGCACCATGCTCTGTCTGGACCACTTTCTTTGGGAGCGGGTATTGTTTTCTGGGAGTGGTTGCTATGAGTATCTTTGGTTTTGTTTTGTTGTTTGAGACAGAGTCTCCCTGTGCAATCCAGGCTGGCCTTGAACTCCTGATTCACCTGCCTCCATCTTCCAAGTGGATGTGAATGACTAATTTGCCAACTGATCTTCTTGGTGAATCGATTCTTCTCTGGCCAGCAGGTAGGTGTTTCCTGCTGCTTCTCATCCTCACCAACACTGGATGCAATGTGACCTTTTAATTTCTGCCAACCTGACAGCTATGAAATGCCTGGGCTCTGGTGGCTACGTGGTCAACAAAGAGGATGTCTCATGGTGTGAAATGTGCAAAAGAGGGGCCTGGCTGTAAGAAATTGACTGACTAGAGAGGTGCCCTTAAAGTGGTAAGAGATGGATCAGAAAGTACACATAGGTACTTTAAACTCCTTGGGGTGTGAGCTGGACATTGTGGTGCACACCTGTAATCCCAGCACTCAGGAGGCAAGAGGGTCATAAGTTTGAGGCTAGACTGGTTACACCGTGAGACCGTGTCTCAAAACAAACAAAACAAAACAAAACAAAAACAAGTGCGGGAATGTAGTTCAGGGGTAGAGCACTTGCCTGGAATTCGCAAGACCCTGGGTTCCACCCCCAGCACCGAAAAATAAAACATCTTAGGGATGGGGTGAAAGGGAGGTGCCAGTGTAAAGGCAGAAATTGAAGGTCAAAGAGGCTGAGGGCTGAGCACCAGTGTAATCCTAGCAACTCAGGAGGCAGAGATCAGGAGGATTGCAGTTCAAAGCCAGCCCCAGGAAATAGTTTGAGAGATCCCATCTTGACAAAACCCATCACACAAAAAAGGGCTGGTGGAGGGGCTCAAAGTGTAGGTCCTGAGTTCAAATCCCAGTACCACAAAGAGAAAAGAAAGAAAGAAAGAAAGCACAGAGGGAAAGAGAGCCAGTGAATGGAGTGGGGCAGGCATCTCAGAGGAGGCAGGTGGAGGTCAGCCCCAGAGCCAGGCTGCCTGCATCCACCTTAGGAGGAAGAGAAGCTGCCCTTCCAGGAGGCAGGAGGGAAGCAGGGCCAAGGTCAAGGGCAAAGAGCATCCAAAGAGGCAGGGCCAGGGCCAAGGAGGCTTCTTCATAGGATGGGCAGTGGACTTAACTCCTGAGGTGGGTACATGGCCAACACTGGTGCAGGATATTGGGGCTGAGTGAACCCGGCAAGAAGGGGCAGGGCCGCCATCAGATCTTACCTGCAGCTCTAGGAGGAAGGAGGCTGCTAGCCCAGTGTGGGAGGGACCAAGGAAGAGTCCAGCAGATGAGGAGATCCCCAAAAGTGTACTGGAAATAGTAGGTCCTAGGAAGCAGAGCAGGGAAGATGGGCTTCTGGCTGGGATATTGGGAATTGTAGAAGGACAGTTGATAACACTGGGGACTGAGGTGGAGGGAGAGAAGGGGCTGTGTGCATTCTGAGAGGGCTTCCTGGAGGAAGTGAGAGTCCAGATGAGTCAATTTTCAGTGATCATAAATCTGTGGAAGAAGGAGCCAGGGATGGTAGCATGCATCTGTAATTCCAGCACTCTGGAAAGCATCAGAGTCAGCCTGGGCTACCAAGTCTGGCTGGACTGAAAGATTCCTTGTTGGGCTGTCTTGTTGGGCTTTTCCAGCCCCTGTGGCTTGGCTTATGGACTTCTCTTTGGTCCCATTATTTTCTCCTTAAACTTCAGAACTCCTATTCAACCTTTGAAACCTGCATCAATGTCACCTCCTCTTGTAAGCCTCTTTGATTACCCTGGTCCCATGTCTGTGCTTTTTCAGTGATCTCGTGAAGCAGAAACTCACTCATTGCCATTTGATTTAACACTGGGAAGTTAATCTGTCAGTGTCTGTTTCCTGAGATGGAGATGGTGACACTGGCAGAGCTGAGTTATAGAGGGGACATATCTGGCATCACAAGTGGATCAGAAGCCACTGAAGGGTGACACCTGCCATTCAGTCTTTATCCTAGAGTTAGCTAAGTGGGAATGCCTCCAGGTGACTCTGCCTCATCCGTGAGCAACCTGTCCCTGAGAGCAGGGAAAATGTCCCCTCACAGCGTAGGTAGCTCACTGTCCTGCACAGAGAACCATCAAGTGCACTGTGGACACTGCACAAAAGGGAAGCAAGTGGGATTGTCTGTCATTTACCTGTAATGTGACTTTGGGAAGGTGACGTCATCTCTGAGGTTTTTTTTTTTAGTGCTGGGGATAGAACTTGAGGCTTTGCACATACAAGCCAAACGCTGCCCACTGAACTACACCCCATCCTTTGCAATGTCCCTCACTTCTAAAATGACAGGGACTCACACCATGAGGTGAGTTGCACATACCTACTGTGTGCAAAGCCCTCCACATTTGACTACCAAGAACGCGCAGGCTGCACCATGGACCCATTGCACAGAAGAGAACACCGAGGCACGGGGAGGGTGAGAGTAGCTCAGTTCAAGTTAGCAGCACGCCCAACCAAACTCAGAAGAATTGTAAAAATGCAAGGTGTGTGTGTTGGGGGGTTATAGATGCCTGGGGTGGGAGAGTCCTATGCATGTGAAGGGGAGAGAGAGAGAGAGAGAGAGAGAGAGAGGCAGGTTCAGGTTTTGGGGTGGTGGTGGGGGAGGAGCGGTTCCTGCAGCGCGCGCGGCAGCCAGGGGTGCGCCCCCCCCTCCTTGCCCCCCCATCCCCCAGCCCCGGGGCGGCGCGGCCCCTTTAAGAGCGGGTGGCGCGCCCCCTGGCGGCAGAGCGGCGCGCGCGCGCGCGCGCGGCCGGAGCCGGATCCGGATCCCGGAGCCGGAGCGGAACCGGAGCGGAGCCGGGGCGGAGCGGGGCCGATCGGGCCGAGCCAGCAGCCGAGCTGGGGGCGCGGGCGGGCGGCATGTACCGGGCCCGGGCGGCGCGGGCGGGGCCGGAGCCCGGCAGCCCGGGGCGCTTTGGGATCCTTAGTACCGGGCAGCTCCGGGATCTGCTTCAAGATGAGCCTAAACTGGACCGGATCGTGCGGCTCAGCAGGAAGGTATATTGCGGGGGGCACGGGCGGGGGGCGCGGGGGGCCGGACCGCGGCCTGCCGGACCTACCGGGCCGCTCGAGGGTCGCATGGGGGCCTGGGCCTTAGATGTGGGGTGGGGGGTGCACCCAGCCTTGCACGTCCGAGGGGGGAGACCCCAAGGGAGGGGGGCCCGGAGCTGGGCTTGGGGTGCGCGGGGGTGGGGGAGGATGCTGGGGAGGCGCCCGTGCACCCCGATGACCGCGAGGCGTGTCCTACGGCGGATGCTCGGGGAGGTGTGTTCCGGGGGGCTGGGGGGTGCTGCGTGCTGGGGTGGGGGGCCCTGGCTTGCACACCCACATCCTGGAGGGCCAGAAAGGGGAGGCGCCTTCTGTAGGGCCTGCTGGACACCTGGGGGGCGTCGGGGGGCTACGCATTCTGGGGAGGGCCAAAGTGTGGGGGGCTTTTGTGCTTGCCGCTGGGGAGGGGTACCCAGAGGGTGCTGTGAATTCCCTGGGTCACCATAGAGAAAGTTGTCTGTTTCAGGGGGATAGGCCCGGGCTGCTTGCCCGTGAGGCGGGGGGCAGAAAGGGAAACTGTGTGTCAGACAGGAGGGGCAGGTGCACCCCACAGTCGGGGGGACAGATGGAGGGGAGAGCGAACACCAGGGGCAGGAGGGACCCAGGCTTGGCCCTGTTGGAACCAGGGGACAAGGCTTCTCCAGGGCCAGGCAGGGCTGGTGTCTTCTACAAGCCAAGGAGACAGGAAGCAGGCGCTGGGGACCTGGGAGGAAAAGGGGGTGTGTATTTGTGGGGGTGTGGGGATTCCGCTGGAGGGCCCAGAAGGGGGTGGGAGGGGAGATAGGGCGACCTGAAGGGGGCACTGGGAAGGGACAGAGTGCAGACATCACTCGGGAGTGAAGCTGGGGTGGGCTTGTTGTTGCCTGGAGGAAGGAAACAAAGGCCTGGAAACAGGAAATCTGTCCATGCATGAAAAGTGGGACAGAGAAGGAGGGAGAGGTCCGTCGGGACCGGGTAGACATATTAATTGAAAATTTTTAAATTAACTAACATTTGTAAAGGTGTTCATAGTTTTGCTCACTTTACGGCTCCCACAAGGTGAGCGTTTGTAACTTTGCATGCAGGAAGAGGAAACTGAGGCTCAGACATCGGGAGTTCAAGGCCAAGCCTGGTCCTTCAGGTTGAGGCCTTGCAGGTACCCTTGGCTTGGGCCAGTGTGGGGACTGTCGCACAGGGTGGTCACCTGAGCGGGGCATCTTCTGGCTTTTCTCCCACCTGGGCAGTTCCAAGGCCTGCAGCTGGAGCGGGAGGCGTGCCTGGCCTCAAACTATGCTCTGGCCAAGGAGAACCTGGCCCTGCGTCCCCGCCTGGAAATGGGCCGGGCCGCCCTGGCCATCAAATACCAGGAGCTCCGGGAGGTAGCCGAGAACTGTGCGGACAAGCTGCAGCGACTGGGTGAGGGGACAGTGGGGAGGACCGCCTGGGGTGGGCTGCTATTGGCCTTCTGACCAGTTGGCCTTGGCATGGGCCAGGCTCTGAAGGGTGGAACTTGGGCACTCCTACTCCTGGGCAAACTTGAGAAACTTGAGGGGTGCTGCCCTCCTGGAAAGAGGGGCTGTGGGTGGGTAGAGCTGAGTTGGGAGAGTTCCGAAGGGCAGTGGGAGAAATGGAGATGCTTGAGGTGTTTGAGGGGTCAAAGTGCCCGGTTTTGTTTTATTGGGCAGTACTGGGGATTGAACCCAGTGCCTTGCGTTTGCTAGGCAGGTGCTCTACCATTTGAGCCACGCCCCCAGCCCTGGTTTGCTTTAGTTATTTTTCTTGTGTTTTGCCTGGAGTTTTCCTTAGACCTCGATCCTCCTACCTCTTCCTCCTGCATAGCTGAGATTATAACCTGTACCACCACACCTGGTTTGTTTACTGAAACGGGGTCTCATTAACTTTTTGCCTGGGCAGGCCTCAAACCACGATCTGTATACCTACCAAGTAGCTGGGATTACAGAGATGAGCCACTGTGCCCGGCAGCCCTGCTTTCTCTTTTGCACTCAGACTGGGGGCAGAACATTGGTGGGGCCTGCCTCATCTCCGACCTGGCAGATCTGCTGACAGCACACTCATTTTGGAAGTAGGGACATTTGTCACTGGACAGAGCCCATGTGATTAGTATCATACAGTTGAGGAGATGGAGACTCCAGAGAGAAGGGAAACAGAATCACATAGGATCAATGGGAGAGGCACAGTCCTTGGGCTCTGGTCTCTCCTGGCCTGTCACTCTGTCCCTCTGTGGTCCTCAGAGGAGAGTATGCATCGCTGGAGCCCTCACTGTGCACTGGGCTGGCTGCAAGCGGAACTGGAAGAGGCTGAGCAGGAGGCTGAGGTGAGGGGAGAGGTGGCTGGGCCTGTCCTACTTGGGTGCTCCCCCTCCAGGAAGCCTGCCTTGACTGCCTGCCCATGCAAGAGCCCAGAGTGCCTGTCATACTGACCAGCCCTAGACAGCAGGGTTCACTGTCCTCAGTTATGACTCTCTTTAGAAATATCCCAGGGCAGCAGAAGACTGGGTCCATCCTCAGGGCTGGGTTGGAAAAGTTGAAGGTGTGGGGACCTAGGTCCTGTTTTGGTGTCTTTATTATTATTTTCGTGGTGCTGGGATTTGAACTCAGGGCCTTGTGCTTGCTACGCAAGTGCTCTACCACTTGAGCCAGCACTTTTTGCTTGTTAGTTCTCAGGCAGGGTCTTGTACTTTTTGCCTGGGCCCACCTCAAACTGATATCCTCCAGATTTCTGCCTCCTGAGCTGGGATTACAGGCATGCACCACCACATCTGGCTCTCTGCCTGGGTGTCCTGATGAGACAATCAGTCTGTCCCCATCTCTGATACTGCCTCCTCTCTGACCTGGCAGGTCTGGTGATGGCACCTCATTTTGGAAGTCAGGAGGACATTGGTCCCCAGAGGCAGGTCCAGCTGTGCATGGCTGGTGGTGGGGTTGGGGAGTGGAGAAAGGAGCAGCCCCCAGTCTCCCAAGCCTTCCCTTCCCTCCTGGCCCAGGTGCAGATGGAGCAGCTGTTACTGGGAGAGCAAAGCCTGGAGGCCTTCCTGCCCGCCTTCCAGCGCGGCCGGGCCCTGGCACACCTGAGGCGAACCCAGGCTGAGAAGCTGCAGGAGATGCTGCAGCGTCGAGAACGCTCTGCTCAGCCGGCCCCCACTCCTACGGAGCCCCCCAAACCCTTCCCGGCTGCAGCCGTCCTGCCTACTGGGGCTACACGGGGGCCTCCAGCCGTGCCCCGGAGCCTGCCCCCCTTGGACTCCCGCCCAGTGCCCCCACTGAAGGGCTCCCCCGGGTGCCCCCTGGGCCCAGCCCCTCTGCTGAGCCCTCGCCCCTCGCAGCCAGAGCCCCCCCATCGGTAGGATCCAGGGTGTGGCCCCCAGTTGGGGGGCCTAGACAAACTTGATTCCTGGCTCCTCCTCCTCCCCCACTGCCTGGGTGGGGGGAGGGGCAGGCCCCTCTCCCTGGCCTCAGGCAGGCCCTGGCCCTGGAGGCTGAGCTGGGGAGGAGGGTCTCCCCAAGAGGCCCAGAGAGGGCTGGGGGTGGGGTGGGCCGGGTTGGGCCTCTGGAGCTGAGGAAACTGCCTTTTTTTGTCTCCCCGGCTGGGGTCTCCAGGGTGATGATGGGCCAGCCCCGTGAAGGGACTTTACTCACTGATGCCCGGTGCCCGGGAAGGTGCCCATTTCCCCTGGGCCCTGCCTAGGATTCCAAACAAGTTCAAAGTCAAGGCCAACAGGATTGCTTTCCATCTTGTTCTGAGCCTACCTTGCCCCCAATTCTGGGGCCCACCGCCTAGGAGCCAGGTGGTCAGGCCCCAGGTGCGGGGCCAGGGAGATCAGGGCTACTGTGAGTCCTACCCAGGCTCCAGACCCTGGGGTAAGGTAGGCCGGGGGCTTCTGACCTGCACAGGTGAGAGCGGGCTGTCCCCCAGGAAAGACGATCTGTATTTTTTCTGTCCCTGTCTCCTTAGAATGGAAGCTTTTTGAGGGCAGGTCCTTGTCTTTGTATGTTCTGTCCCCAGCCCCGCCTCCTAGGGGCCTGTCAATAAATGTGATGATAAGGATGGCCGTGACCTTGCTGCCCGACTCCTCTCTGCCGCTCTGTGGGACGAAGCCTCCACACCTCAGCTCCTGCCCTTCCTACTCTTATGATACCCTCTTTTCCTCTGCTCATGCAAAGCCCAGCTGTCCTTCAGGTCCAGTGCCGCTGCTGCCTCCTCCATGAAGCCCTCTCTGATTACCAACGAATGACAGCCTTTCTTAATCTTACCTCCCAGCACTTCGGGCCAGAAGTATACTCCACTGTATCACTGTCTCCGTTTATCTCACCAGTGTGCACCTTTTCCAGGGTCACTTGCCAGCCCAACCATGAAGGTACCGCTCACTCTCTGGCCTGCCCAATGGTCATCACCACTGAGGTTCTGTAGGACATGACAGAAAGAATCCGTCCTTGGCTAGGGGAACACTGGGTGACTGAGCAGTGTAGGGCAAGAAGATGGGTAAGCATTGAGCGCCAGTGGCTCACACCTATAATACCAGCTACTCAGGAGGCAGAGATCAGGAGGATCAAGGTTCAAAGCCAGCCTGGGGAAATAGTTCAAGAAACCCTATCTTGAAAAAACCCAATACACAAAAAAGGGCTGGTGGAGTGGCTCAAGTGGTAGAGTGCCTGTTTAGCAAGTGTGAGGCCTATGTTCAAACCCCAGTACTGCCCCAAAAAGAATTTATTTGTGGGAACTAGATGGGGTCCTTCAAAAGACCTCTCACAGTCAGATGGATGGCACATGCTGTAATCACAGCCCTCGGGAGACAGAGAGGAGAATCTTGAGTTCCAGGCTAACTTGGGCTCTGTCCCCAAGTCTCCAACAACAACCACAAAGGTCTCTCCTACACCTCATCTTCCACAAAGAGATGAGAGAGGCCCAGCTGTAGAGAGAGTTAGGTCCTTCCATGTACAGTCCCAACCTGAAAGACCCCAGGCAGGATGGACACCACCAGAGTGAAGCGGCCTGCAAAGGTTTTGCGTTGGATGGTTGAAAAGCTTCACCAAGCTCCTTACTTGAAGGTAGGTAGGTACATGGAAGGTTCTGGAAGGTTCTGGAAGGTTCCAAGCAGTCTGGGCCCTTCCCCTTGCCTGAAATGTTCTAGGGCCCCAGGGAATGATGCTGGCTGTGACCCTATGTGTGAGAGACCAGAGGCACCTGAGAAAGGTCCTCCGTACTATGGATTACTAGTGTTCTTACAAACCCATCCCATAAATCCCCTTTTGGATAAAGAGTTTCTGTTTCTCTTCCTTCGGGAATCTCTTAATACCTGTTTGCCTAAGCTTCCCCCTCTTGTCTTCCAGATATGGAACGTAATGACATTAGCGTGCCTTTTGTCACTCTGGTTCCCTGAGCCAAGCAGGCTGGAATCTCAGTGTGGTTTTTGCAAAGCTCTGGCTGAGAGCTTGCCCCTGACCTTGGAGAGGGAATCAAGGGAATTCCCTCTAGAGAACAACTTGGGGGGATTTGCTGTGGGTTTCTCTCAAACTATACAAGGATTTTGCATACAAGGCTGAGTGGAGGAGTTGGTGTCACTGTACCAAAAGACTTTAAAAAAAAATTTTGTCTAAGCCTTTGACATTGCTGTAGACCTCTCAAAAGATTATTTTTTGTCCCACAAGGGAAATAAGATTTACACCTGTGGGCTGGGGGCAGTTCAAAGGGGCTTGCCGGCATGTGTGAGGCCCTGGGTTCCCGGCCCAGCATTGCAAAAATAAATAATGATAATAACAACAGGCTGAGTGCTGGTGCTCACACCTGTAATCCCAGCTACTCAGGAGGCAGAAATCAGAAAGATCGAGGTTCAAAGCCAGCCTGAAGAAATAGTTCGAGAGACCCTATCTCGAAAAAAAAAAAACCATCACAAAAACAGGCTGGTGGAGTGGCTCAAATGGTAGAGTGCCTGCCTAGCAAGTATGAGGTCCTGAGTTCAAAACCCTACTCCCCCCCCCCAAAATAAAAGTTATGTTGGGAACCAGATGGGCTCCTTTGAAAGGCCTCTCACAGCCAGGTGTTGTGGTACACACTGTAATCACAGCCCTTGGGAAGAAGAGACAGGCGATCTCAAGTTCCAGGCCAGCCTGGGCCTGGCAAGTGTGAGGCCCTGAGTTCAAACTCCAGTGTGGCCAAAAAAAAGTATGGACTGACCATCTGTTTGCAGTGGGGCTCTTGTAGCAACCAGGAATTTGCAAACTCTATAGGGGCCAGGAAAGTGACCCACTGGTACCCAGCCCAGCAGTCAAATTTTGAATGTTGGCTAAAGTTATTTTAGGGTATGTCCTAGTGAAAAAGGTTGGCTGTGGCCCATGAACCATGAATCTGTTTGTCTGCCCTTGGTCCTCCTCAAACAGGACTTCTTCTGTATAACAGCAGTCCCTACCAGGGCTGAGGGGATAGAACGTGAGAGGCTAGTGACAGGACCCCAGGGTCAGTGATGGCTAGATTCATAGTGACATGGCCTCAGGACAACTGGGGAGAGAGGAACTCTGCACCGGTGAGGGCACTGGGTGTTCTTGATGTACACCAAGGTCATGGTCCAGACCCGGATCTCACTATGATTTTAACGCATTGACACTGGACCTCAGTTGCTGTGTGCAGCCCCCAAGTCTGAGCCGTGGAGGGCAGGCGACAGGTATTCCCCCCACGATCTTGATCCTGGGTGGATGGCAGCGTGTGACGATTACAAGACTGTCAAACTAAGAGCAGGCGAAGACCAGGTAAAGCCCACTTTCCTCCGTCCTCATCCATTCAAGAGTGGTTTGAAGGAGTCCCATCACTTGCCAACTGTCTCCCTGTCCCTTCTCTCAGTTTTCATGGACTCTGGAGACCTGGGAAACCCACAGGCCTCTCCCATTTCCATCAACGAGCGCTGGTGGCCACTCAGTGCCATAAGGACCTTTGAGCCAACTAGTCTTCATTATCCTGACTCATACTGGGACCAGGACAGAGGCCACAGATGTGCTCAGTGAGTGACGTGCCAGGATTGCAGCGCGAAGCAGAGAGGAAGAGATCCCATGCCATCAACTTGGGGACGTGAAGGGGTCATGCTACCCAGCAATAAATGAAAGAGCCAGGAGGGGAAAAGTCCAGCTCAGGAGGAATAAAGTACTGGTCCATCCAAAACCAAAGCCACAGCTGTCCAGGTGCACCTGCCTTGTCTGTCCCGTCTTGTTGCCTGGGCCTCCTCACTTGGGACCCTGCCTGCTGCCCACTCAACCACATACTGTACTTGTACCCCCTCCCCTCTACTACCAGGAATTGGGGAGCAGCCCCCAGAAGGCAGTGCCTTCTGTGGCCTTTTTACTCTCCTTGCATAGCAGACAGAAGTGGAGAAAGGACAGACTCAAGACATCAAGAGGGACAGATGTTACCATGGAAACCAGTGGATGGGGTCCTTCAGAAAGCCTCCCACACATCTCCCATCCTGTGAAGATCTCAGGCTCTCTCAATTTTGGGAAGGGCAAAGGTTGGAGTTTGGCTGTGGTTTGACTTTAGTTGATGGAATGGGCCTAGTTAGTTTCTGGGCTGTGGAAGAGGCCTAAGTCTTTCATAAACTTATAGACTCCCCTACTTAGACTTGTATGGAATTTATGGAATGGTCTCAAAGTTTCACTTAGTCTGGGGGAAGCCTCAGTCTAAACCTTCTGGAACTTTCTAGATACCTACAGGTTCTAGGGTCACAAGGAACATTCTTAGTTGTGGTCTTCACTAAGACAGCAGACTTGAAGGTCTCTGCAGTGGCTCCGTGGTATTATAGACCACTAGTGCTTTTACAAACCTAAAACAAAAGAACGCAACCTGCATTGGTTTGTTTTGGTTTTTGGTTTTTTTTTTGCGGTGCTAGGGCTTGAGCTCAGTGCCTTGAACTTGGCTAGGCAGGAGCTCTACCACTTGAGCCATACTGTAGCCGGTTTTGCTTTGGTTATTTGTTTTTGGTGGTACTGGGTATTGCTAGGGCAAGTGCTCTACTAATTGAGTCACGTTCCCAGTCCTGCTTTGGTTATTTTTGAGATAGAGTCTTACTTTATGTCCAGGGCTGGCCTGGACTGCGATCCTATTTGTGCTTCCCATAACTGGAATGACAGGCATGCACCAGTATGCCCAGCCACTGGTTGAGATGGGGGTCTTGAGAACTTTCTGCCAGGGCTGGCCTTGAACTGTGATCCTCCTGATCTCTGCCTCCCAAGCAGCTGTGATTACAGGTGTGAGCCACAGTGCCCATCCTGCACTTTATTTTATAGTCCAGGCTGGTCTGGAACTTGAGATTCTTCTGCCTCAGCCTCTCAAGTTCTAGGATTACAGGGACCCACCTTACTTTCTTGGTTGAGAAATCTCTAACATCTGTACTACTTACTAAACTCCCCTCCCCTAATTTCTATTTAAAAGAAACAAACTATCCTCTTGTTTTCCAAACATGAAACATAATAACAAATGTTATTTTAAACATGTAAATGTCTTTCCTCCCTGCAAACCAAGGTTTACTGAGCAAATGATTTTCAAAAGACCAAGCTGGACTAGGTGAGGGTTTATCTCATTTATGCAAGGACAGTGTGTAGTATCAACAGAGGAATTGCAACTAACACATCAAACACCTCTGACTTTGTTGAGACTCTGGACTTGGGCCCCTGTCCTTGCAGTTGACCTCTCCAAGGGGCTTCCTCCTGCATAGCTCTACTTGCCACCCCAGTGTGCAAACACTCCAGCACTACAATGTCACGGCCAGCCCATTCCCCACTTGCCATGGGGAGTGAGTTAAGGAGGCATGTGGCTACCACAGCTCTCCCCAAGCCACCAGCACCTAACTACTCAGCACGAATGAGAAAAACAAAACACCCAAACCCAAAATTACCCTTCAGCCAGCACTGCCTAAGGAACCCAGTCTCTACCTGGACCACAAGACTCCTGGTTGTGTAGCCTCGTAGCTGTAGCCTCGTTGTAAGGGTGTGGCTTGTGACAGTTACTGAAAGTTAAACAGGAGCATGGGGCACACTTGAACTCTAAGGCTGTTTCTTTTTCTTTCCTTTTCCTTCCTTTCCTTTCTTCATTCCTCCCTAGCCCAGGCTGGTCAGGAACTCTCCATCCTTCTGCCTTAACCTCCCCGGTGCTGGAACTACAGGTGTATCACAGACTGCACAGAGAAGGGGCTGGTAGGTAACAGGTGACAGGCACACTGTTCCAAGATGAGCTTGGCCCTCCTAGCATTACCATATATAAATCACTGCACTGCTGATTAGAACTATGGATAACAAAGGATGACAGGCCTCAAGATTAACCTCCGCTGTCATGCCCTGAGTAACTTCTCCAAGGTCACACACACTCTCTCTCACACACAAGATAAACATGGATGGAGGAATGCACACTCCTCATGCTTCATGACCTTGTTTTCCTATTCCTACATGCGACCAACAGAAGGGGGGAGGGTGTGTGACTGACCCCCAGAAAATGGCAAGACCACATTACCCTGGATCAGGTCTCACCTGTGGCTTAGAGAACAATCAGAAAGGCAAGTTTCGAACAACCCTGGGGATTTTCTTTTAGCAGCCAACAATGGGTCATATTGCACATTCACGGTTAACAGAGGAGCGGCACCAATGTACCAATGTGGGGTGAGACAGGTCAGATCTTGCTCGGGGCTTTCCAAGAAAGCCAGAGCAAGCGTTCTGGTAGTTGATAACATCAGGAAGGCGACCTTTAGAAGCAGGCAGTCCAAGGGCTGAGGGAAAAAGAAAAACCCTTTCACCATCAGGCTTTCAGGATTGTCCCTCTGAAATCTCTTTCTTGGGCATGGGAAAGTCTCCTTGCTGGACCATGGGAAAGGGATGCGGGGGTCATCGGCTGGGCTAGGCGGGTGCAGTTCCTTCGGACCCCAGCAAGAGGTAGATTAATGGAAGGTCAGTGGTTCCAAGAAAAAAAAAAAAAAAGCTGGCTGGGGTGGCTCTCCTTCCCCTTTTTCTCCGATTAAACACGAAAGCCGACGATGGTGAAGATAGTGAGGAAAAGGAAAACGAAAGTCATGTCTCGGGTCTCGTCCCAGCGGAACCCCTTCTTGTCCTGGTCCTCCTGCTTTTTGCGAAGGGCCTCCCGCCGGGCTCGGAGGCGCCGTTCGCGCTCCAGTTGTTCTCCATAGTGAGCCTGGTAGAAGGCATCAAAGTCGAACATGGTGCGATTGTCGCCTGGAGCGGCCCGAGCGCCAGGGTGGGTGGCATGGGTTGCCCGCCGTGTGCAGGGGGGACTGGGATCAGCCGCTGGTGTCCTGGAGGGTCGAACACCAGGTCCACGCAGATCCTCGTCGCTCAGCAGTCCGCGATCATACTTGCGACGGAGGGTGGCACTGCCCAGCACTAGGTAGGCTTGGGAGATGCGCGTGAAGCGCTCGGCAGCCTCGGTGCTCCCCGAGTTGCGATCTGGATGGTAGAGGAAGCACTGCCGGTAGTAAGCCGCCTTGATTTGCGCCTGGGTGGCCGTAGAGGGGACGCCGAGCAGATCATAGAGCGCCGTGCGCGAATATGGGCCGTCACCCAGGGAGTAAGTCCTCCGCGGCAGACCCAGGCCGGGTGACGAATTTTGTGGATATCTCCAGACCTTCCACAACCCCCATAGAAACAACCGCCGCCACCTCGGACCGCGCGCAGCTGCCATCTTGAATGGAAGTGGGCGGTACAAGAGGAACCGACCAATAGGAGCCTCGGGCTGTTCTCCGCCCATGTATGCCCTGTAGCCAATCATGTAAAAGGAAAGGCGGGCAGATGGGTGGAGCATGCGTACTACAGTACAGCCGTCGCAGCGCTGATGACATAAAAGCCTGGCACCCGAAGACGTCGCTGACCGGCGTGCTGCTCAGCCCCGAGAATGGCGTGTCGCAGCCGGAGACCGGAGCACAGCGGTCCCCCGGAGCTGGTGAGAGCCCTGTGGCCTGCTGACACCCCTTTCCCCGCTTTGGGGATTCCTGCGTCTGGATTCTTCCCTCTACCTGCCATTTCTCTTTGTCTTCCCCGTAGTTTTACGACCAGAATGAAGCCCGGAAATACGTTCGCAAGTGAGCAGAGCCTGGATATTGCGCGGCATCGGGGGACGGGAACCCGCAAGTTACTCCGATTGCGGGCACTTAGCATGGAAAGCATGTAGAAATTGGTGTTGGGCCAAAGGAGGGACCTGGACTAATGTTCTTTCTGCCCCTGGTTAAGGAGCTTTGAACCGGAGAGCCGAGCAGTCAAGTAGGGTGTGAGCATCTCTGCTTTACCTAGGTGGTTTTCAAAGTTTAGTTTGACAAGCCTGGTGCAGCGGTTCACGCCTGTAATCCCAGCTACTTGGGAGGCTGAGATCGGGAGGAGCACGGTTTGAGGCCGCCCCGTGCAAATAGTTCAGGAGATCCCCATCTCCAAAATAGCCAGAGCAAAATGGAGGTATGGCTCAAGCGGTAGAGCAGTTGCTTTGCGAGCATGAAGCCCTGACTTCAAACCCCAGTCCCACCAGAAAAAAAAAGTTTAGTGTGACAGTTTGTTTTTAAGAGTATAGTCAAAGAATGGGGCTGGAGGCGTGGCTCAAGCGGAAGAATGCAGTCAAATCGGGGTTGGGGGCGTGGCTCAAGTAGCAAACCGCTTGCCTAGAGCTTCCCCTGGGTTCAATTCCCCAGTAATTACGCCCTCCCAAAACAGTGTGATAAAATAGGCAGTAGCCAGGATACGAGTGAGGGGTCCATATTATTGGGAGGGAGTAACTAATATTCATGTATCCCCTACTTAGATTAAGGCTCTAAATTTTAACGGCAGCAGTAGGCGTGTTGTCTGAATTTCCCAGTTATTTGTGTAACTACAAAGCCACTTGACAGGTAAGGGCTCGAACACTGCTCTGTAGAAACTTGTGCAGAAATCAGTCTCTCCTTTCCATTCAAATGGGAGTATAATACAGAAGCTCAACAAAACTCTTCCGTCCAGTCGTCTTTTTGAATCAAATACAGACTTTTCTTCTAGCTGTAGAGCCCTGTGTTAGGTGTTTTTGATAACTATTGTGTGATTCTTGACCTTGGTTTTGGCAAGGCCAAATACAGATCTGTTCTGTTCAGCATGATAGCTGCTAGTCAGAATGATTTGGAATGGAGAAATGTAAAATATCTTAGAGTTTTTTTCTATGTTGAAATAATACTTGGGACAAATTGGTTTAAATAAAATTTTATTTGGTATATGGGGCTAAATGGATCTTTTATAGTTGTTTTCCTTTTTTTTTTTTTTTTTGCTGTACTGGAGTTTGAACTCAGGGCCTTGGGCTTCCTAGACAGGTGCTCACTCTACCACTTGAGTCACTCCACCAGCCCTTTTTTGTGAGTGGTATTTTCAAGATAGGGTCTTGCCTGGACTGGCCTCGAACCACTATCCTTCTGATTGCTTCCTGAGTGGCTAGGATTACAGGCGGGAGCCATGGGGGCCCGGCTCCTATTTCTTCTTAAATGTGGCTTCTTGGAAGTCATTTGATACTTGCATTATTTTTTCTCAAAGACAGCAGTGCTCTTTTTTTTTTTTTTCATTTTGGGGTGCTGGGGATGGAAGCCAGGACCTGGTGCTCTATCGCTGAGCTATATCTCCAGCTGCTGTTCTTGGTTTTTGTTATGTATTATGATCTTTTTTATGAGAGTGACTATGGTGGATAATTATTTCAGGAAATTTGTTCCTGAGTACTAAAGCATCAAGGCCTGAGAGCATTGCATATTGTCCCTGGTTGGTCATTATCTAAGTAACCCGTTTATATATGCTTTGCAGCCAGTACATTGTGTCACAAAACTAAAACAAATAATAACTGTGTCACAATAAAATAACTTGTTGCTATATCATGTAGGCATTTGGGACCACTTCTGAATAGTCATAGCTGTTTGTTGATCTCGAGTTAGAATTACAAGGTAAGAGGATCAGGAAAAAGTACCTCCAGCTGACTGGATTTGAACTCAGGGTCTACATCTTGAGCCACTCCACCAGTCCTGTGTTTTTTTTAGAGAAAGAGTCTCAGAAACTATTTGCCTGGGCTGTCTTTGAACTGCAGTCCTCCTGATGTCTGCCTCCTGAGTAGCTGGGATTACAAGTGTGAGCACCAGCACCTGGCCCAGTAGTGCTTTACCATTTGCTGGTGTTTTTGCCTTCCCAGCTCACGGATGATTGATATCCAGACCAAGATGACGGGGCGAGCCTTAGAGCTCCTTTGTCTTCCTGAGGGTCAGCCCTGCTATCTGTTGGATATTGGGTGAGTCCTGGGGCCTGGTTCAGGTCATCTGGGTAGTGGTGGAGGGTCTTGGCCGCTCACCACTGGGGTCCCGTTTGATTGTGTCTTTCAGCTGTGGGTCTGGACTGAGTGGAGATTATCTCTCGGAGGAGGGGCACTATTGGGTGGGCATTGACATCAGCCCGGCCATGCTAGGTAAGTAAGTAGCCCTGTTTTGTACCAGGGTGTGCTGCCCTCAGGAGTATGAAGGAACTGTACTGACATTCTTTCCTTCCTGTTTTTTTTTTGTGATGCAGATGCAGCCTTGGACCGTGACACAGAGGGAGACCTGCTTCTGGGGGACATGGGCCAGGGAATCCCTTTTAGACCAGGTTCCTTTGATGGTTGTATCAGGTGAGGGTCTTCACTTCCTGCTTTTAATCTTGTGGACCAGTGCTTCTCAAACCTGGCTGGGCAGTCACAGGATGCTTAAAAATGCCTATCTCCTGAGATGCTCAGATTTATAAGGTCAGAGAAGGCTCAAAAATACATGTGTTTTTACATTTCAAAGCTCTACTTCTGAGATCATCTTACACTGGTGAGTTCAGGCACTCCTGGGGTGGATTCTGTGTCTGTTTTGTGTATGCTGGGACAAGGGGGTGGTCTTTAAGCATCTAGGGCCCCAGCAGCCACATTGTTTTCTTTTTTGTGGTACTCGAGCTTGAACTCAGGGCCTACACCTTGAGCTACTCCACCAGCCCTTTTTTGTGAAGGTATTTTTTCTGAGATAGGGTTTCTTGAACTATGTGCCCAGGCTGGCTTTGAATAGTGATCCTCCTGATCTCTGCCTCCTGAGTAGCCAAGATTACAGGCATGAGCCACCAGCAGCCAGCTTGGTGTTTTCTTCTTTTTCAGGCAACTCTAGTAGAGTACCTGGGACCACGCCAGTTTCTTTGTCAGCTGTTGATTTCCTTTTGGTTGTTGAGGTCAGGATTTGAGCACATGCACAGTACTTTGATAACAGGTCTTAGAACAATGAAATTGCTGTTGGAAATAAGTTTGTCTTTGGCTTCTGTGTGAAATTCTGCTTAGTACTGGGATAGTGTTCTGCTGGAAGAGTGGAGGTAGGGAATAGGGGAGGAAGCTATGAATCATTGTGGGGAAACCTTTGGTCTTGGTGAGTGGAGGGATCTGGTGAAGATGGAGACACTTAGATTTGAATTTTTTTACTACATGCAGAAGTAAGGCTGGGGCTGGGGCAGGGAGGAAAGCTCAAAGGTAGCAGTTATTTTATTTTGTGGGCTGAAGCCTGGTGCACAGGCCTTTGAATGGGAGCAGACGTGCCTGTCAGTGGGGCTCAGGCCTAGTTCCCAGGCTTCTGCACAGGGACAGACCTGAGAGCACTCCAGGCTGAGTGTGGTGTCTGCACTGCAGGACCTGCCAAAATCATGAGGAGGGACAGGCCTGGCCAGGGCGGCTTTGAGAAGTAGAGGGGAAGTGGAATCTGGGAGTCAGGGAGGTCTCTGAGTGAAGGAACAGTGAGCAAAGGCACAGGCGTGCATAGGAAGGAATCTGGTGAGTGTGCAAGTCCACGGGAGTCAGGATTGCTTCCCAGAAGGCTTTGAGGTGTGTCCTAGTTACTGGGGCTGTATTCAGTAGACAGTTGGGAGCTGGGGAGCTAGGGCATCCAAACTGTTTAGGAGTGTTATTTTCAGGTGGAACTGCAAAGTGAAGGGAGACTGGCAAAGTGTCAGAGAAGGTGGCAAGGGCTGGGATGGTGGGGAGGGCGAAAGCTGAGAGTGGCAGGTGGACCAGCCAGTGGGGTGGGTGGGGTGGGTGGGGTGGGTTCTGGGGTGAGAGTGCCAGAGAGAAGGACAGATTACTGGAGGTTTGTGCCTCTGAGTCTTCAGACAGACAATGGGAAGAAGTGACAGGACGCGGGTGAGCGGCTGTATGTGAGTGTTTTTGGTTGACTGAATGGAAGGAAGGGGCACGCCTATAATCCTGGCTACTCAGGAGACAGAGATCGGGAGGATTGTGGTTTGAAGCCAGCCTGGGCAAATAGTTCAAGAGAGACCCCCATATCGGGGGCTGGAGATACAGCTCAGTGGTAGAGTGCTTGCCTGGCATGCACGAGGCCCTGAGTTCAACTCCCAGCACCACCAAAAAGAAAAAAAAGGAGAGACCCTATCTTGAAAAGAACTCATCACACACACACACACACAAAAGGGGCTGGTGGAGTGGCTCAAGGTGTAGGCCCTGGTTCAAGCCCCAGGAAGGGGCAGGTGGCAGAGATGGGTTTGGCACCCAGGTGAGGTACATAGGAAACAAGCACTGGCTGAAGGAGTGCAGCCCTCCTGGGTACTGTTTGTGAAGAGGGACCCACAGGCAGGAGATTGGCAGTGGGTGGTGGCTGTGAGAGGGAGGAGGGGAAGAGATCGGTGCCTTTCCTGATCAGATCCTCTCCTTTTTAGCATCTCTGCTGTCCAGTGGCTCTGTAATGCCAACAGGAAATCCGACATCCCTGCCAAGCGCCTCTACTGCTTTTTTTCTTCTCTTTATTCCGCTCTTGTGAGTATGAGGTCCCCACCTGGGCTGGCTGCTGGTCCATCCCTTGCCCTGAGGTTGAGTAAAGTGGAGGGTTCCATGGTGGGAAGGCCACTTGGATAGGACTGCACAGGGTGGTGGGAACTTGCTGTGGATCTTGCGCAGGGATCAGCCTAAACTGAAGTCCAGGCTCAATGGGCCAATGTTCCGATCAAACCTGGAAGATGCTGATGTCAATGTCTGCCTGCAGTTACTAAGCTGGAATAGTAAATAGCTGCTTCTGAAGACCGCAGTTCCTGGGTCTCCTGCTACTTTTCGTCTGTTTGTTTTTGGGTTTTTTTGAGACAGGGTTTTGACCTTGAGTTCAAGGCTGGCCTCAAACTCAAACTCCAGATCCTCATGCCTCAGCCTCCCAAGTGCTGGAATCACAGGTGTGCGCCCTGACACCAGGTTTTTTTTTTTTTGTTTTGAGACAGAGTCTCATTATATAGGCCAAACTAACCTGGAACTCATAATCCTTAGCCTTGAGAGTGCTGGGATTACAGGTGTGCCCACTGTACCTGGCATCCCTGGCTTCGTTTTAATCAGAAGTTTGGGGCATAGACTGAGCAGAGTGAGGACAGAATCATCCTGTCCAGCCCACAGGGGACACTGTCCAAAATACCCACATCCTCCAATTCCTCTCTTCCCTCCTCCCTTCCAGTGTTTCTCAAGTGGGAGACCGGGATGGTTCCTAGCTCCAAGGGAGACTTTATTAATAAGCTTTCTTCTGTTTTACATCTGGGCTAGCCTTGATATCAGTTGCTCACTCAGCTCAGATGATGGCTTGACATTTTAAGTCCTGAAAACGGGTCCTGTTGCATTTTGAAGTCCCCCCACCTCACCCTGGCCTTCTCACGGTGCACGGTCTTTCTGGGTGCATGGCTTGGTTTCTCCCCTAGCACTGGGGTTGATCCTGAAGGTCTAGGTGCCTTGCATTGCTCTTCTTTGTAGTGCTCCCCCTCACACCCTTAACTTACCAGCTCCCACTGTCCTCAGGTCTGCTCAAGTGTCCCTTAGAGAGACTGCCATGAACCAAAGATAACTCAGCAGTCTGTGCTACTCTGCCTACTCTTCTGCCTTGCACGTCTCACTGCTGGAAGTTGCCTGCCCTCCACCAAAATGTGCGCTCCAGCAGCTCAGGGCTGTGACAGTAACCCCAGCCTCAGGGGCAGAGCTTGCCTGAAACGGGGACTCCATAAATATTTAGTGAGTGAAGGAGAGTGTGAAGGAGTGTGTGATTCTGGTCCTGGACGAGGGAGGCTGTAACGCTTTGTTGCTTGCAGGTCCAAGGGGCCCGAGCTGTCCTGCAGCTGTATCCTGAAAACTCAGAGCAGGTGAGGCTCTTGGCTGCTGGAGGTACAGAAAGGGGACCCCCAAGCTGGGAAGCTATCCTGTTCCTCACTCACCTGCAATGCTGTTGGGAGGTGGCACACAAGGAAGCTCATGCTGACTGGTGGAAAAGAGTGGCCCTATGGGCTCTGGTGGCCCCGAGAGGGATGGCGTCTGGGAGGGGTAGGGTGTCATCTTGCCTTGATAGGTTAGGTGGTATTATAGGTAATGTGCTAGGCTGTGGCTCATTTCCATCACTCAGTAAATAAATGGGAAGGGAGGGGCAAGAGGACACGAGCAATATCTGTCCTATGTGATGTGGGTTAGAAATTAGGAAGTGTGGGCCCAGGTAGACAAGTGACAAGTGATGCCTGAGCCCAGTGGTGGCTGTTCATTTCCTGAGACTTGAGTAGAGATGGGTCCCTGGTAGTTGCTGTGTTCTGTAGCTCCCCCAGTAGAGGGTTGTGTGGTGACTGAGTGTCATCTGTGCTCTCCTGGCTTTTGGGGCTTCAGTTTGAAAGGTCTGGTTGTGAAGGATTTCATGTCCAGGCAAGATGCAGCTCTAGGGGTTGGGGTACAGCCTGGCTGCTTGGAGAGCAAAGCTTCTGTCCCTCCATTCTCTCTGGCCAACTTCCCATTCTTCTCTCTGCAGTTGGAGCTGATCACGACCCAAGCCACCAGGGCTGGCTTCACTGGTGGTGTGGTGGTGGACTACCCCAATAGTGCCAAAGCAAAGAAGTGAGTACTGCCAGGGCTGCCTGCAGCAAGGGGAGAGGGTGGGCAAGGGCCGAACAGGAGGCGGACTAAGGTCTGTCCCTCCCTGGAGGCTATGAACGGGGCTCCATGCTGCACTCTTGTTTCAGGTTCTACCTCTGCCTGTTTTCTGGGCCTTCGACCTTTCTTCCAAAGGTGAGGGGCCCCGGATTATTTGCAGCCTCCTGTCTTGGATTTCTTGTGGTGGGGCTGAGGCCGAGGAGCATGCTGAGAGAACTGGTGGTGAGGGTGCTGCGAGCTGCAGAGCCCAGCACACCGAGTCCTATGAGATCTGGAGGCTGGGCCTCTTGCCTGTCGGTGGGCTGAAGCCTGGTGCACAGGCCTTTGAATGGGAGCAGACGTGCCTGTCAGTGGGGCTCAGGCCTGGTGCCCAGGCCTCTGCACAGGGACAGACCTGAGAGCATTCCAGGGCGACCTAAGAACTTTGCTTCCTGCAGGGGCTGACTGAAAATCAGGATGCAAAGCAGGCCACTGAGTCTCCATTCACTAATGAGAGGTAAGGCTGTTGCCAGCTGCGTGGAAGTTGGGGTAAATGCCACCAGGGCTGCGGACAGTTCTGTCCGCCTCACAAACCCGGGGTGAGGCACCACGGTGGCTCAGGGTGCTGGTAGAACAGAACTCCTCCTGGACTGGTCTTGCTTCCACCTTGGGCTGAGGCCTGAGGCCCTTCTGGCAGCCATCCATGCCATGCTGCCGTGGTTCCCCTGGTGAACCTGCACATGCTTCTTCCTCTTGCCATGCCATCCTCCCTGAAGCTGCCCTTTCCTGTATCCTCCTCTTTGCTCTGGGCTCCTTCCAGTAGCACTCATCGTTTCTCCTGTGTCAGGAAAGGTCCTGTCCTAAGCCCAGCACAGTGCCCCAACAGTCACCTGGGAATCTACCTGGGCCACCCAGGAAGCTTGACTGCTTCCCCATAACAGCTGCTCCTGGTACTTGCCTCCTCTGCCTGGTTCTCCCAGTCTGTTTTCTAGCCAGTGTGTCTCCTTACAGACTGTCCTGTCAGGGTCACCCCCAGTTGCCCTCTCACCAGCTCTGTGCTGACTTCTGGGTTCTTCTTCTCTGCCATCCTTGCCTTTCCCTACTTGCTCAGCCGGGTCTGAGTCAGCGACCTCCTTAGCACTTTGTTCTCCTTCTCGCCTTCCTCCCACAGTCCTGGTCTCCTCCTCACCTGGCTGCCTCCCCTTCCCAGGGTACTCTGACTCCTGTTTGGAGTGCTGTGCAGCCCAACCTGGCTCCTTCCTTCTCTGTGGTCTTTAAGTATCAGTGAGAGAGCTTGCCCAGCACGTGTGAGGCCCTGGCTTCCTCCCCAGTGCCACCACTGATAAAAGGCAAATGGAAGCTCCTAATTCTTTTTATTTATTTATGTATGTACGTATGTATGTATTTATTTATTTATTTTTGTGGTGGGTTTTTTTCAAGCTAGGGTCTCAAGCACTTTTTACCCAGGCTGGCTTTGAACCACAATCCTCCTGATTTCTGCCTCCTGAGTAGCTGGGATTACAGGTGTGAACCAGCACCAAAGTTCTATCTTGAGTCTCGGCCCCACCTCTGACTTCCCAGCAGCTGCCGTGTCCATGCCTGGACTCAGGTGCAAAGCCCTGGGCCTTGCCACTTCCTCCCCATCCTTTGCCATGTCACCCTTCCCCTCTTTCCTCCATCCCTCCCCTCAGTGTGTGCCCCACTGAACTGTCACCACACCCTGCTGTCATTACTAAATAGCCGCCAGCTGCTCCCTGCTGCTGTCCTCTGCATCTTTCAGTTCACTTTCTGGGCAGCAGCAAGACAGCCTTTCCTTCTGTCTTGCTCTTGCATCCACTGTTCTGCCCCTTTACACATCTCACTGCTCTGCATTACATATTTTTGTTTACTTCGTCATTATTTGTATCCCCAACTAGAATGAAACCTTGGTAGGACTGGTATTGTGTCCCTAATGTCAGGAATAGTGTCTTGTTAGTAAAGGTTGCTTAATGTTTGTTGAATGAGTAACTGATTATCAAGTTGCAAAGGAGGAGGTCATTTCTTGGTTCTGCATGATGTGAGTGTGAGGTATTGAGATCTTGAAGACATTTAAGAGGGAAGGTGGACTGAGAAGGAGTGAGTTTGGCAGGCTCCCCAGTGGTGAAAACTGTCCGTGACAGGCTTGTGCCGTCTGACCCCTGACCCTCCACACCATTTCTTCCCCAACTCATTCTGCTTGGAGCCTTGGAGCTCTTCTAGATGCTTCTGTGCTAAGGTGCCTGTTACTTTCTCCCAGTCAGTGGCCAATCTCCCTTTTCAGAGGAAGTCCTTGTTGTGGAACTACAATCCATCTAGTCCTCATGCTGATGTCTGTGGTGACATGTCCTTACTGTATGCTGGGGAAAGTTGAGTGGCCTGAGTGTCCACCCCCTACCTGTTTACAAGGGCGATGATGAAGCCAGGCATGGTGGTGCAAGTCTGTAATCCCAGCACTCAGGAGGCAGAGGTGGGAGGACCTAGAGTGTGAGGCCAGCCTGGACTGCACAGCGAGAGCCTGGATTCAGTCCTCAGTCCTGCAAGGAAAGAATTTTTTTTTTGTAGTACTGAGGTTTGAACTCAGGGCATATACACCTTGAACCGCTCCACCAGCCCTTTTTTGTGAAGTTTTTTCAAGATAGGGTCTTGTGAACTATTTGCCCAGGCTGGCTTCAAACCACAATCCTCCTGATCCCTGCTTCCTGAGTAGCTGGGATTACAGGTGTGAGCCACTGGCACCCAGCTCCTATGCTCCATTTTTTTTGTTCACTTTATTCTGCTGGTGCATTTCGCTCTTGCTGCCTGACCTCCACCCTCCCACTGCTCTAAACTGCTCCTTGGAAGGCTTGTGCAGTTCTGCCACTTCTGCTGCTCTCCACATCTGTGGTTTGGGCTGTTCCCCTGCAGTGGCTTCATGGATTCCCTGATCTCTCTCAGTGCTGGCTGTCCTCTGTCTTGGGCATCCTGGGCCCCTCCTGTTGTGTTTGCAGCTGCGTCCTGCTGCTCATGGCTCACCGCAGTGCTCTGCACTGGCCAGGGTCTTCTGGGCTGTTCCAGTCCTCTTCCTTCTCTTCAGTGCCTTCATGCCCTCCCTGTCTTCTGCCCGTTTCGACCATCCCAGGTCTCTCAGGAATTACTCTCTGTACACCCTGAGGTCTGGGTGATAGTGAGTTGCTGCATGGAGAAACGTCACTGGTTCCCGCTGGCGGAAGAACACGCTTTTTGCTAGCACCCAGACCTCCCGCAGTGCCCTTGGGTCCTCCTGCAGTGTCTGCTTCCCTTGCCTGGCCAGGCTGGCTGGCTGCTGCTCCTTTGCCCAGCTCTGCTGGGGAGTCCAGCCCTTCTCCTTGCCCATCTTTCTGACACTCTGAGCAGCCCTCAGACCTCTGCATTCTCTCTGCAGGGGGAGAGTGGTCTCTGCCCAGCACAGTCAGGGCTGTTGTAGGGCAAGGCTGGTTCACGGCCCCGGTGAGTGCCAGCAGACCATGGCTGCAGGAGCCCAGGAAATGCTGATGCTCAGGTGGCGAGGAGCCCTCATGAGCTGTGCTGGAAACTGGTCCCAGCTGCTGGGGATCAGGGGAAAAGAGGGTGGCTTTGGGGGACTCAGCCCCATCTTCCCAGGCCCTCTCTCCCATTAGGCTGTGGGGGTTATTTTTCTCCTCAGCTAGGGCAGGAGGCCAAGATCAGCCTTGAGGACCATCGTCAGGACTGCTTCTAGCCAGGCAGCCCTGTTTTCCTCCCTCACACATTTGTAGGGTCTCCAGGAGACCCCCAGGAGAGCTGATGCCAAAGCTAGACTTGACCTGAGTGGCCGCACTGGGCTCTCCTCAGCCACTGCCAGTCTCTGGTGGGCTATTTCTGGCCTCGGCTGCCCCCCAGCAGTGTGGCTCCCACAGGCAGGATGGATGCACACTTAACATGGGGTCACCTGCCCAGGGCAAGGTCTGTGTGTGACAGGACTATAGAGCCCCAGTGGTCGTACCAGGACAGAGGGGTCCAGAGTAGGGACTTGTAGAAGGGAAGAGGGAACTCTTGCAAGTAGGGGCATCTGAGACCCCCTTGGAGCTCATGGCTGTCTCTGGTACAGAGTTCCATACAAGAGGGCGCGACGGAGTGTGGTGAGGAAGAGCCGCGAGTGGGTGCTGGAGAAGAAGGAGCGGCGCAGGCGCCAGGGCAAGTGAGTGCCAGGCGGGGGCAGTGCGGGGTGCTGTGACACTGGTGCTCACTGCCCTGCAGGGTGGAGATCTCACTGCACTGTGTTGTGCTCTGAGACTACCACTGTGTCTTCCACAGGGAGGTCAGACCCGACACTCAGTATACTGGCCGCAAGCGCAAGCCCCGCTTCTGAGCCGAGCCGTGTCCAGTCCAGTGGGACAGCCCTACGGTCACCCCAGGATGGGAGCTGTGCCGTCCCGCCCAGGTTCCTGCCTCTAGGGACTCTTCTGTGTTGATGCTTCTGTGGTACTTTAGAGAAGTTCTAAAGTCCCCAAAGTATCTTTTCCACTACAAATTTCCAAGGACATTTTATTTTGTGAAAGGAATAAATGACTTTGTGGGGACCTGTGACTCTGGCCTCTCCCAGCTCTGATTGTAATCCAGTGTCTCAGGTCCCTTTGTTGACAAAGGAATCGGGTTTAAAGAATTAAAGTGGTTTTTAAGAGTATGGTGAGCCAGGAAGCAGAGGCAGGAGGATTGAGGCCAGCTTGGGCTATGTAGTGAAAGCCTGTCTCCTGACAGACAACGAAGTGGATAAACAACTGCCTTGCAGGCAGGGTCCAGGGCGTGTTGCCATGTGACCTTGGCATACACTGCACTGATTGTGCTGGACGGGAAGGGTGTCAGGCATACCTGTGTCAGTGGTACCCACTGACCTGAGGTCACCACTGTAGGCCACCCCCACCTCGGCATTTGGTTGCTTCAGGGACTGTCTCCTGTCTCATCCTAAGTGCTCAGAAAGGGGGAGGGGGTCCTGCTCGGGGATGGTGGCCTGTCTAGTAGGCCAAGAAGTCTGGGGGTGGGCCAGGCTACGGAAGAAAGTAGAACTGGACATGGTGCAGGGAGGGGCCCAGGGTTGGTGAGGGTGGACCTCAGGCCTGGGTGTCACTTGCTGGCTAATCAGTGGTGGTTGAGGGTGTGTTGAGAAGGTTGAGATCCTCTGTCTTGGAGCCCCATCCCCTCTGTGCCCCACACATCGTCCCCAAGTCCTCAGGTGCTGCAGATATAAGTGTAAAGCAGCAGGGCGCCACTAAGCTTACGTCTGTAATCCCAACTACTCAGGAGGCAGAGATCAGGAGGATTTCGGTTTGAAGCCAGCCTGGGCAAATAGTTCACAAGACCCTATCTCAAAAAAACCCATCACAAAAAAGGGCTGGTGCAGTGGCTCAGGGTGTAGCCGAGTTCAAATGCCTATACCACAAAAAAAAAAAAGTGCAAAGCAGAGGCTGCTACAGATACAAATGTTTATTCTACATAAAAATCTCACAAAATGGGCAGCTGGTTGTACCAAGACCTTTGGTGAGGGGGTAGAGGGAGAAGTCGCTGTGGAAAAAGGCAACACGGACAGTGGTCACAGTCACTGGGCAGGAGCAAAGCTGAGGAAGGTGGGACCCACAGACACGGCCCCGTCCCCACTGCGTGCGCTCGCATGCACACTCCTTGCCTGTCAACGAGAAAGGGGTCTTGGGGGGGCGGCACGTTTGGACTGGAGAAGCCCCACGATGGCAAGGTTGGGGGAGGCCCTCCCTGGCTGGCTGCTGAATACTGCATCCGGGACACCTGACACCATGTGGTACATCAACATAGACAGCAAGGGTGCGGGGAGCCTGCAGGCCTGGAGTGCACCTGGGAGCAGTGTCCTGCAGACCCAGCCGAGGCCTTGTCAGGGACACTGGCCCAGGCTACAGCCTTCCCCGGGCAGAGGCCTGGCTGCAGCCTGGGCACCATGCAGCCTCTTTCAGATGATCTCATGGGCTCAGGCTCGCCCAGAGGGGTTGGTCCTGGGGCTGTAGGGAGGGAGACCATGGCTTTACCTCAGGTGGGGAAAGAGGTCTTGTTCTGACAGCCCAGCAGCCACAGCCCTGGCAGTGCTCAGCTAACAGAGGCTTGCTGCTGGGGCTGTCCCTCAGAGCCACCCCTCCCCAGCCTGAAAAGCAGCACCAGGTGGCTAGCCGAGTCCTGCCCTTCAGAGGGCTCGGCTGGGGGGACAGCTGGGGAGGCTAAAGGGCAGGTCAACGGAGGTGATGTTGGGATCCAGAGAGAGCCTGGGTGCCAGGGCACGGTGGACCCCAAGCCTGGAAGGATAGCGTTTGCTACCCGAACAGCCCTTCCTGGTCAGGGTGGGGCAGCCCGGGCTGGGGGCCTGAGCCCTCCCTGCATGGAAGTCACCCCCAGGTCCCCTGGCTGTTTCCGGCCCTTTTCCCCGCTGCCTCCTCTGCACAGACACACACTGTCACAAAATCATGCACACGACACGGCTCAGGGCAGGGTGGGGACATGGGCCCACGGCAGAGAGGAGCAGTGTGGGGTGGGAGGGAGGGTGCTCGGAGCCAGAAGGCAGGGGTAGGGAGAGCAACCCAGCCAGGCGGTGGCAACCGGGGGCCAGGGGTGCCTTCTCAGGGTGACCCATCCAAGGTGGAGTGGCAGGCAGGTGGCCTCTATCCAAAGATGCCTCCAAAGGTGGAGGCAATGACGATGCCCAAAATCACACAGCAGATGATAATCACGATCTTCTTCTGCAAGGAGGAGGGGCCTCAGTCAGAGGGGGCAGGGAGGGGTGCGGGGGAGGGGCAGAAATAAGGGCTGGGCTGGGGAAGGAGCTCAGTGGCAGAGCATTCATCTGACATAGGCAGGGCCCTGGATTCCATCTCTGCACTGTGCAGTAAGATGAAGGCTGAGGGCTGGAGGGTCAGGGTTTGGGGACAACCAGGGGTCAGACTGTGACGGGAAGGAGAAGGTTCCCATGGATGGGAAGGGGTGTGAAGTGGTCTGGGGGCTCTGGCAGGCGAGGGCTTGGCAGAGCTGGCTACTGACCCGGCGTGCTTTGCTCTGGTACTTGACGGCTTTCTTGGTGTCAGACACGGCCCTCTCTACATAATCCACGGCGTGCTCCACATTGTACTCAATCCTGTCGATCATTTCCCCCTGCAGGGCCGGGGCACCAGGGCTCCAGGGCTTATCCCTCAGGGTTAGGGTTGAGTTCGGGAGGGGCTCAGGGCAGGGTCTCCTGGACAGCACCCTGAAGTCGGGAGAAAGACAGAGTGAGGAGGGTGGACTGCAGCTTCTCACCTGTGCCTGGCCACTGGAGGCTCCTGGGCCAGCTCCCACACAGCATAGAGCAGCCATCCGGGGTGACACTGGCCATGCAGGCTCAGCCAAAGTGGGGACCATGCAAAAGGATGTCCAGCTGGGGATCTGACCCCCAGTGCTGGCAGAGGGCAAATGCCACACAGAGGAAGGCAGGAGCAAGAGTAAGTGGACTGATGCTGGGGGCTGTGGCTCATGCCTATAATCCCAGCTACTCAGGAGGCAGAGGTCAGGAGGATCGAGGCTTGGAGCCAGCTTGGGCAAGTAGTTTGCAAGACCCTATCTCAAACAAAAACAAAAACAAACCCATCCCAAAAAAAAAAGAAGAAAAAAACCCAAAAAACCCATCACAAAAATAGGGCTGGTGGAGTGGCTCAAGGTGAAGGTCCTGAGTTCAAACCCAGCACCGCAAAAAGAAAAAAAAGCGGGCTGTGGCCACAGTTTATGAAGTGACCACAGTTAAGTCCCCGCCCATCCGATTCAGGCACAATAGTCCCATCCAGTTCTGGCTGTCTCCATTTCAACCCTAAGATTCCCGCAGCTGTTCTAGGCCTTACACTTTGATCCCATGCTCCTCCCAGGGGGCAATGTGACCATGGCACTGTCCCACAAAACTTCCACAAGAGGTGCGCGTTCCTTTGCAAGCTCAATGCCTTTGCTGGTGTCCAGGTCGCCATGGTCACTGGATGCGGCAGCAGCTTCCTCAAAGCCTCCCTACCTCCTAAGGTTAACACTACTCCCATACCCAAAACCCCCAAGTCAAGCTGGGCCTGCTGGTGCACACCTGTAATTCAGCACTCAGTAGGAGGAGGCAGGAGGACTGAGAGTCCCAGACCAGCCCGGGCTATCCAGTGAGATTCTGTTTCACAAAGCCAAAAATAATAATAATAACCAAGAGCTTCCAGGTGCTCAGTGTCGCTGGCCAGGCATCACACGGACCTTCCTTCTGCTCTTCAAGTAAGTCCAGCTCATGTCCCTCTGCCTAGGGCCAGCTCTTCACTGTCCCTGGGAAGTCTTCATAGCTGGCTCTTTTTCACCTCTTTGGTACCAGTGCAAAGTGGCCACCTTGGTCACTCTGTCACAGTGTTATTCAAGTGTGGTCCTCAGAGCCATCGGCACCCCAGAGACTTCCATTTGGGTTTGTTTGTTTTTTTGTGATACTGGGGATTAAACTCGGCCTCGAGTTTGTTAGCCAAGTGCTCTACCACTTCAGCCAGGTCCCCAGCCATTTTGTTTTGTTTGTTTTTGGCAGTACTTGAGGTTTGAACTCAGGGCCTCACTGCTAGGCAGGAGCTCTACCACTTGAGCGACTCCACCAGCTCTTTTTCATTGGTTATTTTTGAGGCAGGATCTCACTTTATGACTGAGCTGGCCTGGACTGTGATGCTTCTATTTGTGCTTCCCCTGTGTAGTTGGGATGACAGGCCTAAACCACTGCATCCAGCCACTGTTGAGATGGGGTGTTGTGAACATTTTTGCTTGGGCTGGACTCTGGGATCTCCACCTCCCAAGTAGCTAGGATTACAGGCTTGAACCACTGTGCCCCACCTTGTATTTTGTTTTTCAGATAGAATCTTGCTAACTTTGCCCACGCTAGTCTGGAACTGCGATCCTCCTGCCTCTGCCTTCTGAGTAGCTGGGATTACAGGCATGAATCACCACTCCTGATCTCCATTTGTTCTTTACTGAAGCTGCCTTTGTTTTAGGCCCCTCAGCTGTCTTGCTCACTGCTACACCCCCAGTTCCTACACAGAGATCCCTTATAAACAGCTGGTGAAAAAGACAGGATGGGGTGGGGAGGTGGGGGGGCCATGCAGGGCCAAGCAGAGCCATGCAGAGAGGGTCCTTTGGGCAGGCAGGTGCGTGGTTACCTGAGGACTCAGTCCCTCCCAGGTTGGGCAGCGTGTTGGGCAGAAAGGGCACAGTTAGTGCGGCCCTGGGTGCAGCTGGGGGTGGTGGGGACAGCAGGGACTCAGGTGCTCACCTGGCTCTCCACAAGCATGGCCATATCCGTGAACATGTCGTGTAGCTCCCGGATGCTGTTCTCCAGTTTGATGATCTCACTATGCCGGGTCTCAATCTCGCTCAGCGCCTGCTTCGAGATGCTGGAGTCCATGATGATCTGGGGGGTGGAGCAGGAAGCTGGGACCCGAGGCCTGGCCAGGGGCAGGCAGGACCAGGTAGGCAGAAGGCCAAGGTGGCAGGCAGCTAGCTGGGCTGGACAGCATTCTTTCAGAAGCAACAGGCACAGCCCCCCCCACCTTCCTGTTTAGCTCCATCAGTTGTCACCTGATTTCTGGGTGGCCCAATTTCCTACCTACCTGTAATACTCACCCCTGCCCTGTGTCTGCCACAAGTAGTGTCAGTTCTTTTTTTTTTTTTTTTTGCGGTAATGGGGTTTGGACTCAGGGCCTACATCTTGAGCCACTCCACCAGCCCTTTTTTTTTTTTTTTGTGAAGGGTTTTTTTTGAGATAGGGTCTCGAGAACTATTTGTCCAGGCTGACTTTGAACTGTGATCCTCCTTATCTCTGCCTCCTGAGTAGCTAGGATTACAGGCGTGAGCCACCGGCTCCCGGTTTAAAGTGTCAGTTCTTAGCACCAGCGTTTTAGAGCCCAAGTTCACTGTCCCATGGGGCGCAGGCCTTGAACTGCCTCTCGCTGCTTATCTCCTCACTGAATGTGACTGCCCCTCCCTGTCTCCTCCTGGAACCCCCACTCCCACACCTGCCTCTCCCACCTGTGTGCCACCTTCTAGCTGGGCATGGTGGTGCACACCTGTAATCTGAGCAGTTGGGAGCCTCAGGCAGGAGGATTGCTAGTTTGAGGCTAGCCTGGGCTACACAGCCAAGACCCTGTCTCAAAAACACAAAGGTGGAAAAAATTAAAAAAATGGTGCCTTCTGTTCCGCAGAGCGTGCTGCTTCCCTGGAAAGCGGAGATGTCTTTCAGGAGGGGAAAGACCCCAAAGACAACAGGAGACTCTGGCCCTTATAAATGACCAGGGACAGCAAGGAAGTGAATCAGTCTGGGAGGCACCAGAGATTTAAAGGTTTTGCTTTGTTTTGTTTTGGGGTACTGGGGTTTGAACTCAGGGTCTCAAGCCTGCTAGGCAGATGCTCTAACCACCTGAGCCACTCCGCCAGCCCAGGGACATAGGTCTTGATTCCACCTTTGTCACTAACATTTATATGACCTCAGCCTGGTCCCTTCCCTTCTCTGAGACTAAAACCTGTGTCACTGGATGGCTGTGCCCACGAACTACCCTGACCCAGGACTTTGCACGCACACTGTGGTCTCGGTGGGGGCGGGGACAAGGATGGTTAGTGGGGCACGGTTAAGGGGTGGGATCCACACTCACCCCAGAGGCAAAGATGGCAGGGTTCCCACTCTCCAGCATGTCCTCCAACTCCTCACTGGTCGTGGTCCTGCCGGCTGGGGGCGGGGTCACACTGAGCGCACCGCCCTCTTAGGGAGCTCTAGGACTTTGGCCCCGCCCCGCCGGCCCAAGCCCCGCCCACCAGCCGCAGGCCCCGCCCTTTCAGCTCACTGATCTCCAGCTGCCTCTGGATGCGGCCCTTGCAGCGCTCGCGGTAGTCGGACTGCGTGGCGTTGTACTCGGACATGACCTCCACAAACTTCCGGGACAGTGTGGAGTGCTGGGAGCCCGGGAGAGGGGTGCGGGTGTCAGGACCCTCCGGGCCCGAGTCCCAGGTGCGTGCCCACCCCAGTGTCCTGCACACCTGTGTCTTCCGGATCCTCAGGTCTGCGGACGAGCGGTTCAGGCCCTCCTCCTGCTCGATGCTCTGCTCTATGCCTGCGGCGGCGGGGGGCAGGGGAGCAGGTGGCTTCTGAGCCATCACCTCCCCCCACACCCGCCCCATGGGGCTCCCCTCTCCCCGGGGGAGACCTAAGGGATGGAGTCACTCGGGAGAGTCGAGATGCAGCAATGGTGGGAGGCAGGTGTCTGCACCTACTGTGTGCTGGGTCTGGTGGCCCGGAGCGACCTGTGCACAAGGGTCATGCCCTGAATGTGGAGCAGGTGGCGCAGAGGCTGTGGTGTCCATGGGACCAGAAGGCGCTGACCACCTGACATCATGACCTTGTGTAGTAAAAGCCAGCGCTGCGGCCACTCCTGAAGTCCACCATGTCCTCAGCACTGTTACTGTTATTTGCGGGGCTGGGGATGGAACCTGGGGCCTGGTGCGTGCTAGGCAAGTGCTCTACCACTGAGCCGCGCCCCCAGCTTTCCCGTCACTTTTTTAGCTCTTTGTAGCAGAAGTGCGGGACAGTGACCAGAAGGTAGCACACCCTCAACATTGGCTTAAGGACCTGCGGCCATGGTCGGGTGTGAAGGAGCGCAGGGTGCCACCGTCCTATGGGAGAACAAGACCCGGGTGCCCTCCAGTCAGCGGAAGCAGTCTAGCCTAGGTGAGCGCTTCGGCCCAGTGGAAGCGGCACTCACTCTTTAACTTGGAACGAACTTTGTTGGCGGTCTTCTTTATATCTGTCATGAGTTCTTCCAGCTCCTCTTTCGTCTCTGGGGAGGTAGAAGGGATGGGGGTGTAGGCACCCCTACTTCCCCACTGCCTGATGGTCAGGCTCTGCCTCCTGTACCAGGGCCGGATGGGGACTGTGGGCAGGCCGGAGTCTTGGGTCTCTCCCCTCTTACCTTGGCTAAGGCTCTGTGTACAGCCCCAGTTCTGGGCCAGGGCCACACCAGCTGCAGCGCCCCCCCATCCCCCACCTCGCTCCTTGCAAGGAGCCTCCTTCCTCCTTCGTTGGCTTCCCTACCCCCTGCAGATAACAGATGGGTCTAAATTTAAGACAGGGATAATTGTCGAGCAGCTGGTGAGGCTGGAGTTGGCACTAAGGGTGGATACTTGAGCTGGCCTGAGCTGGGCTGTGCTAGGCTCACCTGGCCTTACCTGGTGACTCAGAAGGATAATGGGGGCCAAAGTCACAGCTACCACCACCCCCAATCCCCTCCTGTTCCCTTAGTGGCAGCCACAAGTGCCCAGTGGTGGGGCACTTTGTCCTCACAAAGGTGCTGAGCTCTGTGGAGTGCTAGGGTACAGGAGATGCCTAGCTTGGGTGGGAGTGATGGAGAAGTTCAAAGAGGTGACCCTGAGGGACAGAGTCCCCAGAGGTGGTGGGTAGCCATGAAGGTCAAGGTGGGGAAGGCCAGCAGCCTGGTGTTTCCAGTTCTTGTTCCAACTAGAACCATTTCCCTAAGCTGGCAGAGCCATGGGGGTGCCCAGTTTGTCCCTTCCCTAGAAGGCGGTTAGCTGCCTCCCCCCTGGGGTGCTCCTGGCAACACTGAAGCCACAGGTGGTCCCTATGATGCCCTTCAAAGCCAGGCCTGGGGTTCCTGGCAGTCACCTCAACTGAGTTTCTCCCAAGGGGGTTGGGGAGAGGTGTGGACAGTGGTGTATCTGGACAGCCACCTCCCAAGTGCAGCGTGAGTGGGCTGGAGTGGGGGGGTTCCGTGGAGTGGAGGGTGGTGCCTCGTTCACACGAACAAAGGCAAACTCGGTTACCAGCTGCTCTGACGTTTCAGCCTCTTTTGCTCAGACCCAAAATAGCCCAGCCGGATGGCAGCCCCCCTAGGAGGCAGAGCAGCCTGGGCCAGGAAAGTCCCCCACCCGCTGCCAGCCTTCCTCCTCCTCAGCTCTGCTCTGCCCTAGAGCCCTAATGTGGCACCCCTCCCCATGGTGAGTGTCCGAGGCTCCACTAGGTCTTGCTGCTCAGCTCACAGACATTGTCCCCACTGTGCAGCCACAGGGGGAGAAGTGTGGACAGTGGTACAGGGGGCCCCAGGAGAGGAGATGGAATGACTGTCACCCCAGGCCTACCCTAATCCCAGCAGCTGAGGTCCCCCTCCCCAGTTCTTCAGAGTACTCACTTCTCACACACCCCCCCCCCCCAGTTACCACTTCCTGACCACCCAGGACACCCAGATGCACACATGCCACCATCCTGGGCAAATGTCTCTCTGGGGCGTCTCTCCAGCCCTGGAAACAATTGTTGGCACAGGCCTCAGTTCAAATGTGCTCTGACACGGGAGAACATTATTTTGGCTCAACGACACCAGTGAGCTGGGGGTGAGGGGCCCCGGACAGGGGGCCATGCTGGAGACCAGAAAATCCACCCCATGGCACCAGCTGTCCCCCAAGTCATCTCTCGGACTTCCTTGGGCGTTTATGTGGCTAGAGTCTCCCAGAGGGGCTGAAAATACAGAAGGTGAGCAAGCTTGACCCAGTGGCCTGCTCTTTCCCCATGCAGATGCCTCAGGGAGCCCATCACTGCCTCCTTGGGTCTGTGGCTAGGGAAGAGGGCCCGAGGTGGGGCCTGGGTGTGGCAGCCTGGCACATATTGGTGTGGTCACCCATGTCAACAGGATGTAAGGCTGGATCAGAGGACCCTGTCTAGGGACAGAGTGGGGTCCAGACTCATGCAGGCTCTCTGTGTAGAAGGAGAGAGGTTACTTCCTGGAGCCCTGAGAATGCCTGGCTCCAGGGTACCAAGTGGCTGGGTGCCAGGGCTGCCAGCTCTTGCCGGAAGCTCTGCTTTCTTGGCCGGCCAGCCCTCCCACAGTGCTACCACTGCTGCCTCAGAGCCACCATCTGCTCCCTGGGGAGGCGGGACAGGGAGGGGCCAGGCGGGGCGGCCTCCAATTGATCAGAGCCAGCTCTTTCCTTCCCAGAACCCCAGGCTGCAGCCAGCCCTGTGGCCTTAGAAAAGTCAGGTACTGTGGGAGGGTCACATTGGCTGCCTGACCCTACCCAGGCCCCAGGAGAGCACCTCACCACCCCCAAGTTTGTTTTTGGTTTTTTTGTTAGTTTGTTTTTTGGCAGTACTGAGGTTTGAACTTAGGGCACAACACTTGCTAGGCAAGTGCTTTACCATTTGAACCATGCCCCCAGTCCTTTTTGATTTGGTTTTTTAGATAGGGTCTCACACTTTTCCCTGGAGATCCTCCTACCTCTGCCTTCTGAGTATCTGGGATTACAGCTATGCACCACTATACCTGGTCCAGTCCCCCAAGTCTTTTTTTTTTTTGAGGCTGAGCCACTCCACTATCCCTATTTTTGTGAAGGGTTTTTTGAGATAGGGTCTCGTAGAACTATTTGCCTGGGCTGGCTTTGAACCCAGATCCTCCTGATCTGTGTCTCCTGAGTAGCTGGGATTACAGGCGTGAGCCACTGGCGCCTGGTGTCCCCGAGTCTTTGCATGGAAGCAGGGTCCAGTTGTCCAGTCCTGGACAGTCCTATAGAACCCTCCTCCCCAGCCTGGCTAGCACACCGTACCCTAAGCCCAGTCCCCTGGCAGGCGTGGGTGCCCCCCCACTCACTCTCATCGGGGTTGGGGGAGGCCAGGATAGCACTGTGCTTCCGTTTCACCTCGTCCACGTTCTCTGCAATCTTGTCAATGAAGCCCCGGATTTCCTCCACCTGGGTACCAAGGTCAAGGTCAAGGTCAAGAGGGGCTGGCTACTCCCACAGGTCCTTCTAGAGGGGTGGAAAGGTGTGTGAAATTCCCATCCATAATTTTGCTCTATCCACCCTCCAAAAAGGTTCATTTGGGGGAGCCCAAGGGCTGTGGAGCCAGGCACAAGTGGGCGACAACCCTGGGCATGGCTCAGAGGTGGCCCCCAGGTACAGCAGGAGAGATCAGTGGCTGCCCTACCTGCTCGAAGAACTCATCCATGAAGCGGTCTCGGTCCACAGTGACAGTGACATCGTCATCGTCATCGCTGTCCTTGGCCTGCACAGGATTGTGTACAGTGAGCGGACCTGCTGTTAGGACCCCTGGGCCCTGCTGGACCAGGATCCCACATTGCACGGTATTTGTATGCACAAACCCATGCAGGGGGAAGCCCCACCGCCGGAACCGCCCCTCCCTCCTGGAGGATCTGGGCAGAGACAGGGACAGACCTGCCTGTGCCTTCAGCTCCCGCCACAGCGAGACCTGGGGAAGTCCTGGGCATGTAGCACAAGGACAGGGGCCTTGCCTGTCAGGTGTGGCAGCAACCCTCTCCCCAGCCTAGCTGCCTGTCTCCTCCTGACAGCTAGGGAGGCCCTGCCATAGGGAGCCATCCAGCCTCGAGGCTTGGTGCCCCCACCTCCCAGTCAGTGTTCCCCAAGACTGAGGCCAGCTGGTGGACTGGTATGTGTGCAAGTTAGCTTGGCCTGTCTGACTACTTCACGTCACAGGCTTTGCCTGAGACAGTCAGCCTATAGGCCACGTTGTCTATTCTTCAGGCCCACTGGCTTCTCTTTCTTTTCTGAGACAAGGTCTCACTGTGTAGCATAAGCTGGCCTTGAACTCTCCATCCTCCTGTGTCAGCCTCCCTGTGTCGGCGTGCACCGAGTTCCCAAGCACCCTTTTCAGGGGGCCCTGTAAGGGGGAGGTCTGCTGCTCCATCCCAGGCCCACTGAACCTGCCCCAAGACGCGGGGAGACCCATACACTCGCAGCCAGGCTTGACAGGCTGTCCGTGTCGGGCTTGCTGAGCATCAGCTTGGCTCTAGAAGGCCTTACTGGTCATCTCTCCCTTGCCAGTCTTGACCTTGGACCTGATGCTCCTTCCTTCCAACCCCAGAGCTGGCCCAGCAGGTGTAAGGGGCAGGACGAATTGTCACTGGCTGGAGGCCTGTCTTAGTTCTCAGCCACAGACAGGGGTGTTCTCCCACCCTCCACGGCTCCAGGAGCAACTGTAACAAAAGCCACTGTCCTGGGCTGGGGACCATTCTGTTACCTTCCCAGAGTGTTGCTCAGAGTTATTACTGTCCGCCCACACCTGGAGATGGCCAGGGTCAGCCCATTCTGCTGCCAAGGCCAGCCTCCCTCTGCATAGCAAGGCAAGGATAGCCAGGGGGACCTAGGGCAGGGGCTGAGGGTCCTCCCTCTGGTTCAGATGGCCTTCTGTGGAATGCGGACAATGATGTTTGGCCGAGGGGAGGGAGGGGCAGAGAATGGAGAGGCAGCAGAGGCGTACACAGCCCCAGCACCCCGCCAAAGTGGGTCCCACTGAGAGAGAGTGTGGGGTGGCTGGAGGCGGCTCAGAGGGGCTCCTTCTATCTAAAATCACACCTCCTCCCCCGCCAGCTAAAATAACCCCTTCCCTCTCCCTAGCATCTGTGGCGGCTGCCAGGTGGCAGCCCCTCCCCCACTCCAAGCCCACCCCATAGCCACAGGGAAGCTGAGAGCCATTGCCACACTTTTGGACCATGTCAGGCCCAGAAGTTGAGTCAGAGGAGCACTCTCTAGGAAAACTGAGGCACAGGGAGCCTACAGGGTCCCAGATGCCTATCTGGGGCAGTCACACAGTTTGGGAAGTGGGTCCTGGAGGACCACAGAGTATTGTCATTCCATGTCCTGCACCAAAGGCCAGGGAGGCCGGGAAAGGATGGAAAGAGAATATTCTAGTTACTCCTCTAGCAAGAGGAGTATCAAGTGGCTCACGCCTGTAATCCCAGCTGCTCTGGAGGCAGAGATCTGGAGCTTCGTAGTTCAAAGACAGCCTGGGCAAATAGTTCGTGAGACCCTCTCAAAAAAATCCATCACAAAAAAAGGGCTGGTGGAGTGCCTCAAGGTGTAGGCCCTGAGTTCAAATCCCAGTAACCGCAAAAAAAACAAAAGTGTCTGAGGTGAGGGTTAATGCCAGGCCTGCAGAGCCACCTGCCCTGCCCTCTGAGACCCCCGTGGACCTGAGCCTGCCATTTGTCAAACAGGGACCTGTCTTCTCCAGGTGTGTGGTCACCTCCACTCCCCCTGCCCAGAGGGGTGAAGCTGGACCTAGAAGATTCTTCCAGAAAGGGCAGGTAGGAACAAACCCAGGACCTCCCTCTTGTTAGGGCGGAGCTGGGAAGCAGAGACCAAGGGCCAGGGTCTGATTCAGCGTGACCCCAAAGGGAATGAGACAGTTTGGGGCTTGACCTCATAGCCAAGATCAACCCAGCTGAAGCTCCCGGCGAAACCCACAGGTGACCAAGGGGCCTTTCTCTCCAGGACCCCTGCCTCCTTCTGGGATGGCTGGATGTCTCAGCCCACCGTCCACTCCATCCACTGCTCCGAGTGAGGCAAGACTCACCAGAGTCCACTCCTGGTGCTCTCTGCCAGCTGCCCTCAGCATGGAAGGGCTCACTGATCCCATGAGGCCCACTAACCCCTCCTCATTAAGTACCTCTTTCTTCTGGAAGCTTCTCTCCTCACCAGTTTCTTGCTTGTCTGACTGTCCACACTGTTCACTTTCTTTGACCATCACTGGCTTCCCAGGCAGCTCTGCCCACCTCGGATAGCCTCAGCCGTGAGCAAGTCCTTCCCTTTCCTGCTGTTTGGCTCCAGGCCATAAAAAGCCTGTGCCTTCTCCCCAGAACAACCCTGCCAGAGAGCTGAACACAGCACCCATATCCTGCCTGGCTTTCTCTTTCTGAGTTAAGCATTGCTTCCACTCCCCAGGGGCCCCTCCCTGGTTCCGTTCTGCCTCTGTCTTCTCCTGCAGCACAGCACACAGACTGAATCTGATTGTGTCTGAGCAGTGCCAAAGGGCCCATCCATCCCCTCCCTCCTTCTAGCTGGTCTACCTCTATTAATGTGGCTACAGATGATCGTGTAGTAAGAAAGCCCAAGCCCTTCCCCCACCGTGGTCTCTGTGGTTGGATTTTGGGTTCAAGTGAAGAACCTTTTTCCTGTTTCATTTCTTCATTTGTACTGATCTTCCTTTTGGTTGGTGAGAGCCTAATGATTCCTCACTCTGTTGCCCCACCACAACCTCATCCTCTTACAAGCCAGAGGCCTGTGGCACCTTGCTGGAAATACCCCCTATTAACTCAAATCTTTAATCAGTTGTCATTGGACACTGAGTTAAACAAGGATGTAGAATATCAGAGGCAGGCCCCTTTGGGTCTCCCAGCATCTGGCTATGTAGTCTAAGCTGGCCTTGAACTCCAGATACCCCTGCTTCTGCCTCCTGAGTGCTGGATTATAAGTGTGCACCACCATGCTCAGACACATTTGTGACCAAAATAGAACTAGCATGGCGGCTAGCCTGCCATGCTGTCTGTCTTCCTGGTGTCTTGCCAAGGTTAGGCATCGTACACATATACCCAGGCATTTGTGGAGTGATGAGGGGGTCACCAGCGCAGCCAAAGCCCTGGAGAAGGGGCTGGGATGGGAGTTAGGGTCGTGGGAAGCCTTGCGTGGTGTGGCAGCGAGAGCCACAGGGCAGTTATAAGCTTAAAGGCCCAAATGCCCTCTGGTCAGACATGCCCAGGCACCACATGGGCACCTTCCCTGGCTCACGATGCCTGGCTCCATTGTTCTCCAGAACCCCTCCTCAAACTCCCCAGCTCAGCTCCCCTGTGCCTCAGGACCCCCAAGCCAGAAGCCTGGGCATCCACGATACTTCTCCCTTTCTCGGTCCCTCTAACATCCAATTTGTCCTAGGGTTTCATGCTCCTTGTTCTGAGGTTTTCAACCCTAGTCTAGCTCCAGAACCCCATGGGAGACTTAAAAAAACCAATTCCCCCCCCCACCGCAGGCTGAATGGGAGTTTAAGAGTTTAAGGGGGTTGGGTTGGTGAGGCTCAGGATTTTTTTTTTTTTTTGGTTTTGTAGTTCTGGGGTTTGAACTCAGGCACCTGCACTTGCTAGGCAGGTACTCTATCACTTGAGCCACACCCTCAGCTCTTTCTGCTTTAATTCTTTTTTTCAGATAGGGTCTCATGTTTGCTGGGGCCTTAGACCAAGCTTCTCCTACCTACATCTCCCTTGCAGCTGGGATCACAGCTGGACTTGATGTAGCTCCCTACAGCTCTCTCCCAAGTAGCTGGGATTACAGGTGTGAGCTGCCACACTTGACAAGGTTTAGGTTATAAAAGCCTCCCCCCAGGCTGGATATGGTGGTGTGGGCTTGTAATCCCAGCACTTGTGAAGCAGAGACAGAAGGATGGAGAGTTGCTGGGTTCCATCCCTAGCACTACAAAAATAAAAGGTGCCCTCTATCTCAAGAAGGCCCTTATCTGGCCTCCCCGCTTCTGGCTGGCTATCCCAGCTCAGGCCTTCAGCCTGAGCATGCCGGGAGGCTGGAATGCTGCTCCAGCTAACGGGTCAGGAAGAAGACCTGGCCAGTGCCACTGTGAGCAGAAAGCCGAGCTGTCCCTGGTGAGTGTCAGGCAGCCCTGGTGGTCTTCCTGGAAGAGTCCAGGATTCCAGGACACCTTCCCAGAAACAAAAGTCTCATTGCTCCAAGAGGCTGGGCGGCCTCCAGGCCCGTCCCAGGTGATGGCATCAGGCCAGCCAGCAGGGTTGATTCATCACCACTGAGCCAAGCCAGGGCTGTTGTCTGCCTTGAGGGCTATTTTTTTCCCTTCCTCTTTTTAATGGCTAATCAAAGTCAATATCACTAGTGCAGAGAGGCCCTGAGCCGAGTCAGGGGTGTGCAAGAGGCCAGGCTGGTTTCCAGGAAGGCGAGCTCACAGTCTGGGCCCCTTTGCCATTTCTCCACCTCTGGAGCTGTGTCCTCCCTGCCTCCCACACCAGATCATCCCCTTCATAGGGCTCCAGAGAGCTCAGGGAAGCCCTGGAAAGAGGCTGAGCTCTGCTGCATGACCTTGAATAAACCCTAGCCGTCTCTGATCTTCAGTGCTGGGCTGTGTAATACAGGTAGGAGTGCTTGCCCAGCAAGCGTGAGACCTTGGGTTCCATCCCCAGTACAGCCAAAACCAAAACCATTCCCCAGCTGCATCCCAGATAAAAATGGACCCAAACCCATTGTTTAGTCTGAGAACTCTCTCTAAGGAAAGGAGGGATGGAGGGAGACCCTGACTTGGGCCTCTTCCTGTCTCAGGTGACACCAGTTCAGGTCTACAGATAAGGAGATGAGCAGAGAGGTTAGGTGGGCACAAGGGGTACCTTGGCTTCTGCTTTCAGTGAGCTGGACCTGTCTGGACCTCAGGGGACCCTGGAGGCTGGGAGTCAGGACCCCTGCTCTTTCTTGTTTTGTTTCTACTCTTTGCTTTCACCTGAGCTGGTCCCTCCTTCTGGGTCACCCTGTCTCCTCCTATGAGGACCAAATCCTCCATTTGGGCCACCCTGCCCATCTTCTCCTTCCTGCAGGTTTCATGTGTGCTGCTGGCTCAGAATGGACATGAACAGCCCAGGAAGTCCCCAGAAAGAAAATCAGGGGGGCTTGGGCAGCTCCACACCAAGGAGATGTTTACCCTAAAAGTCTCTCCTCAGTGGGTGATATGGTCCTGTCTTTGCCCCTCTGGGTCCCCATGATCCACCTGCACCCTGGGGAGTTAACTGACCCCCAGGGTCTGCCTACCATGCTGAGGCCTCACGCTGGACCCATGATCCTCTATACTGCCCCTCTGCAGAACTGGGAGAAGTGGCTCGGTGAAAGGTGGGGGCTGGAGGAGGCTGAAGGGCTGGGCCAGGCCTGCAGAGCGCTGAGGAAGCACGCCAGCTCCTTCCCCAAGTGTGACTTTTATAAATAAGCTCCCTTCTTTCCAAATGTGGTGGCGCTGGGTGGGGGAGGAGAAGGAGGAGGAGGAGGAAGAGAGGGAGAGAGGGAGGGCTGGGAACCGTGTACAGCTGCTGTCCTGAGCCCATGTCTGGCCAGGCTGGCCAGCCCTGGCTTCTTCACTCCTGGGGGATCTGAGCTGCAAAGTCTGACTCCCCCAAATGTGGAGCCTAAGTCAGGAGACCTGGGGCCAAACCCCACAGCCTGAGAATCTGAGTTCTAGGTTGTCCTCTTTCTGCTTCACAGATGGGAGCCCCAGGCCCAAAAAGGACTTTCTAGGAAAGACAGAGAGCTGGTGGAAGGCTAAAGTGGTAGAGCACCTACCTAGCAAATGTAAGGCCCTGAGTTCAAAATCCCAGTGCTGCAAAAAAGAAGACTTTTTTTTGTGGTACTGGAGCTTGAACTCAGGGTCTACACCATGAGCCACTCTACCAGCCCTTTTTTCTGAAGGTTTTTTTGAAATAGGGTCTCTAAACAGCTATTTGCCCAGGCTGGCTTCGAACCATGATCCTCCTGATCTCTGCCTCCTGAGTAGCTGGGATTACAGGCGTGAGCCACCAGCACCTGGCAAAAAACTGTTAAAATAAAACAGTTTATGTAGGAAAGGCAAAGTCCCCAAGACTGACTATTCCACCCCAGCCAGTGTGGTCTGCCAGCTGCCGAAGGCAGCTAGAAGCCCTCCGTCACGGGGCATGGCCACAGTCACGGGGCTCTGAATGCCCTGGGTGAGGTGGTGTGCTTTGAGAGGGAGCCTCAGGCAATTCATGGCAAAGCCAGAGCCTGGTCTGATGGTGCACACTCGTAATCCCGATACTCAGGAGGATCGAAGGTTCAAGGCCAGTTGGATCAAAATCCTGGGTCAAGTTCCTCACAACCCAAGCTCTCCTTGGGGTCCCCAGTTCCAGCCAAGCCTAAGTCTGACCATCTTCAGAGACTAGGTAAAGCCCCCTCTCTACTAGCCCCCATTCTACCAAACAAGCTGCAGTTATTCCTCGGTACCTCAGTTTCCCCTCCTGTGGAAAGGCTGCCAGCAGATGGAAAGAACCTTGTTTCCCAACCATCCAGTTTCTTTACCTGGCACCTCAAGTAACACAGGGCCATCCATCACCAGGACAGCATGCTGTCAGACTCAAGTGGCACAGGACATTTAAGGGCAACCACAAGGGCTGGCAGGGGACGTGTTTGGAGACCATACGACACTTGAGGGACCATCTTTTGAAACCTCCTGGGGTTTACTACAGAGGGCTGGGCTCTGGGCCAGGAATAACCCAGGTCTGCAGGCAGGTGGGGGCAGGCAGGCTGAGAAGCTGGTAGACAGAGGAGAGAACAAGGCCTGACTCCATAGCCAGGAAAGAAGACCAGTAGAATAGCAGGGGAATCCCAGGCACAAATTTGGGGAGCTTCTGCCCAGACAGCTCAAGCTACAGGGTCAAAACCCTGAGGACACTTGAAACTTTCTTGTTCGGGGGTCCTAGGGCTCTGGCTCTAAGTGGGAAGTGTTCTGGCGGGGAGGGGGTTACTGAACTGGGGGGCTCTCAGATCAGTGGGGCAAGGCCTGCCAGCAGTGGTCAGACACAGGATCAGTTGAGTCAACCTGGTACAGAGCCCGGACTCCCCCTCCCACTGGGAGACTTCAGTTCCACTATGAGCCCCTCCCCCAGCCATTATCCTCCTTGTGTCCTCCCAAAAGGCAGAGGCCAGGAGATGAGGACCCCTATCGATGAGAAACTGATGGCTGGGGTCTCTGTCTGGGCTGGGAGATGGTATGTGGGCTGTAACTCAGAACCTTTGTGCATCCTCCTACCCCCTCCAAACCCCGCCCCAAGAGCCACACCCCAAGGGGCCTCGGAGACACAGGTAGAAAAATAGATTCAGGTCGCGGTCAGACCAGGGAACCCAGGAAAGGGTCTGGAAACGCCAGCCTGGGCAGTCCGCCAAAGGTGGACTTGGGGTGGGGGGGAGCGGTGAGGGTGAGGGCAGGTGTGATCCCCACCTCCCAAACCCAGAGCGATCGGAGGATCCCGACCTCGATCGGGCAGACTGGAAGCCACAGGTGATGGGGAGCCACAGGTGATGCGGGGGCGCGGCACCCCAAGACAGCTCCAGTTCAGGAAGCCACCCCCATCCGGCGGCTGGGCTTCCGCAGCGCGCCCCGCAGCGGGGCTTTGGGCAGGGGGTCGTCCCCGGCCGGTCCCCACCATCTGTCTCTACCGAAGGTGGTGATGATTAGGGAGGAGGGGTACACAGGAGACTCGGGGACAAGGCAAGTGGGGGGGCATCAGAGACCAGACCCGCTCGGCAGGCCGGGGAGAGATCAGGTTTCTGTCCCGTCCCCGATCCCCCATAATAATCCTCCGATCCCACTCAAAAAGCAGGGGGGCCCCGAAAAGTTTATCTAGGACCCCAAGGCTCCAGCTGCCAGCTCACTGGTCAGCTCAGCCGAGCTCCAGCAAGCCCGTGACCCCGAGTGGGTCGGAGGGGCGTTATCCGGAGGGAGGGTCAGGGTCCCCCCAGGCACGCACGGCCACCTTCGCTCCAGCTGGGATGTCCAGACTGTCCCCCCCTCCTTCCCTCCCCATCGATGGCAGCGGGATCCGAACCTGGAGTGTGCAGCGCGCTGGCGCTCAGCAGCCCGGCAGCGGGCCGGACTTACCGTGCGGAGCTCCTGGGTTCGGTCCTTCATGCTCCCGGGAGTGGCAGCGGCGCCGGCTGCAGCCGAGTGAGCCCCGCATGCGCGGAGGCCGCCCCGCGGCTGCGCAGCTCCAGCCCGGCCCCGCCCCGGCCCCGCCCAAGCCGGCCCCGCCCAGCGCCGGCCAAGCCCGGCCCCGCCCCCCGGAGCCACGCCCCTTTATTTAGACCTCGGGATCGCGACCCTCTACCTTCTCCACCTGTGATCCCTGCAGGGAATCGGCCTCCAGAGCCCCCGTTCCTCCCTTCACAACCCTCCCAACCCCAGCATCCAGCCGTTCAGCACCCCTGCGTCCCCGGGAATTGCTGGAGATTGGAACTCCGCCCCCCTCCTTTTTTTTTTTTTTTTGCCGTATTGGGGTTTGAACTCAGGGTCTACACCTTGAGCCACTCCACCAACCCTTTTTTGTGGTGGGATTTTTTTCGAGATAGGGTCTCTAGAACTATTTGCCTAGGGTGGCTTCAAACTGCGATCCTCCCGATCTCTGCCTCCTGAGTTGCTAGGATTGCAGGCGTGAGCCACCAGTGCCTGGCTGGAATTCCCTTCTTGACTTTCTTGCCTTGGGACCGCCAACATCCTTCCCTTCCCAGGGGAATTCCCTTCTCAAAATCCCCCTGCCGAGAGCCGGTGGCTCACGCCTGTAATCCTAGCTACTTAGGAGGCAGAGATCAGGAGGATCCAGGTTCAAAGCCAGGCTCTGACAAAACAGATGGAGAGACCCTATCTCAGAAAAAAAAAAAAATCACAAAAAAAGGGCTAGGGGAGTGACTCAAGGTGTAGGTCCTGAGTTCAAACCCCAGTAACACACACACACACACACACACACACACACACACACACACAAAATCCCCATCCGGGAGTTCTACCCCTACCCTTCCCCTTCTTCCATCCTCTCATCCAGACAGAAGCTGGGCAACCACCCCTTTCCTTTAGTTCCCTGGCCCTCAGCAGGCTGCAGGAATCCCTCTGTCTTTGAGAAAGGTAGATAAAGATTGCAACACCCTGTCTTCCCCATGTCCCAAGCCCTGAGCTCCAGCCCCAGCCAGGCCTGAGGTCCTGTTTCTATGTAGAGGCTAGAGACAACTCAGCGCGGGCCCTTTCAATGCGAGAATCTTAGCACTACCTGTGGAGGGTGGGCATGGGGTGCTAGTGAGGAGCAGGTGGACCTTTCAGCTCCTTGCCAGTATTTGTTGCAAATGCAGTCAGCCCCCTCTTACCCACAGACATCCTACCTCCTCCTGGCCTCTTCTGTGCAGTGGTCCAGGTCCTCTGGACCCTCCCACCCCAGCCAAGCAACAGCCCCCATTCCCCAGGGCTGTCAAAGCATTGCTCTGGACCAAGTCCAGCCCCCTACTGCCCAGAGTGTCTGGGCCTGACACCTCTCCCAGACTTCCAGCACAGGTTAGAGTAGCTGGCTGGCAGCCTGGGGACACTGGGCCAGCCTTCCCTTCTTCTCTGGAAAATCTGGCGGGAAATGTCCTGGTATGGGAGACAGACAGCCACCCTCCCCCAGTTGTCCAGCCTCCAACCTTGAGTGGCCTACAGAGCAGGCCTTGGTGGTCCCCCCCTGCCGGCTGAAGGGGTTTGCCCAGGGTTATGAGGACACAGTAGCAACAGAGGCTATCTGACTCCTGGTACCGTGAGTTTCCTGTGTGCAGGGGAAGCCGGTGGGGTGGGTCATGGATGCTCCCTGGAGCTCAGGGTCTGGCCCTGTGGGGACAGAGGGCAAGGAGGGGAGACACAACTCCTGCCTTCAGACAGCCAAGAATCACTCATAAATACATGCCAAATGGTAGCAAGAAAAATGAAGAAAGAAACTGGGCCTGTAATCCTAGCTACTTAGGAGGCTAAGAGCGGGAGGACTGTGGCATGAGGCCAATCCGTGAAAGTAGTTTGTGATACCCCCATCTCCAAAATAACCAGAGGAAAATGGACTGGAAGTTTGCCTCAAGTGGTAGAGCATCTGCTTTGCAAGTGCGAAGCCCTGAGTTCAAATTCCAGTCCTACAAAATAAAATAAAATAGAGTCCTGTGATCGGAGACTTCAAGGACCTGCTGTGGCACTCAGGTGGGCCTATGTTGGCACAGGTGGCGGACGAGGTCAGGGAGGGAGACCTGGAATGCCGAACTTTATTTTGCCCACAAGGAGACACTTGAGGACTGAATTTTCACCGCTTTGTTTGAAAACTCTTTTCAATGACATCTAGTAGGTGTTGACTGGTCTAGATGCTGTGGGTATGCAGACAAAAATCCTTGCCTTGGTGGAGTTCATGCTCTAACACAGAGAAGATGAGAAATAAAGAAATAACATCACAGTGGTGATAACACGCTATGAAAAAGATAAAGTGAGAAAGAAGGGGTGAGAACCTTCAGGGGTTCAGGGAAATTCCAATTTTAAATTAGATGGCCAGGGAGCTGAGTGTGGTGGCTCACACCTGTAATCCCAGCTATTCAGGAGGTGGAGATTGGGAAGAACAAGCCATTCAGGGCCAACCTGGTGAATGAGTGCAATGCCAGCACTTGGGAGGCTGAGGCAGGAGGATGGAGAATTCAGGGCCAGCCTGGGCTACATGGTGAGATCCTGTCTTAAAAAGAGGGGAGAGCTGGGAGAATAGCTCAGTGGTCAGCGCTCTCCTAGCACGTGCAAGGCCCTGGTTTCCATCCCCAACACTGCAAGGAGGTCACTTGGATATGGCAAGAGAGAAGACGGAGGAGGGATAAGGGTGACATCAGTGGTGACAATGATCATACTCTGGATAGCTGTTAAAGGGGCACCAACAGAATGGAGTTAGGGAGGCAAAAGGACTGAGGACTGAGGAACTCTGTATGATTAGAGTGAGGCTTTTGGTCTGAATATTCACAAAGACAGTGATGCAAGTTGGGTGCTGGTGGCTCACGCCTGTAATTCCAACTACTCAGGAGGCAGAGATCAGGAGGATTGAGGTTCGAAGCTAACCTGGGCAAATAGTTCTCGAGACTCTATCTTGAAAAAAACCTGAGTTCAAACTCCAGTACAAAAAAAAAAAGCCAAATACTATCTTTTCAGCAAGGCTCTGTCTGGCCTTCTAGTCCAAAACTGGGATTTCCCTGACAGCCCAATGGGAGGCAAGTAGACAGAATTCAGGGCTCCCCCAGAATTCAGTCCAGGCTGGCAGCCACCAGCACAGATGGTTTCCCCAGCAAGGGAGGAGGTCTCCCTGGAACAGTCATAGAGTTGGAAATTTGAATTCAGGGCCTGCATCTTGAGCCATTCCATCAGCCCTTTTCTGTGAAGGTTTTTTTTTTTTTTTTTTTTTGAGATAGGGTCTTGTGAACTATTTGCCGGGCTGGCTTTGAACCATGAGCTTCCTGATGTCTGCCTCCTGAGTAGCTAGGATTACAGGCGTGAGCCACCGGCACCTGGCAAGCCCTTTTATTTTTGAGGCAGGATCTCACTATGTAGCTCAAGCTGGCCTTGAACTCTTGATCCTCCTGCCTCTGCCTCCTGAATGCTGGGATTACAGGTGTGTACCTCAATGCTCAACTTAAAATAGACAGATGTTGTGAACTAGGGCAAGGTCTTGAGGTCTTGCAGGAGGAGGAGCAGGAATGGGGCAGGCTGGGTGTCAGAGACTGGCGTATGGATTATTCAAGGTCTCTACCCTGACACCTGGGGGAAACCCCAGATGGTCTGTGCAGAGTTAATGTGGAGTGCCAGCTGGAGACTTGGGAGTCAGGAATAGTCTGGCGGGAGGTAGAAATTGTGGGTCACAGTACAGAGTGTGTGTGTGTGTGTGTGTGTGTCTCCCCAGGAAGAGAACAAGGCCTGAAGATGAGCCTGGAATGCTTCCTGGCAGATGAAGGATTAAGACAGAGGAGGCAGAAACATGGCAGGGGCTGAATTAGGCACTACTGTGCAAGGAGCAGCCAAGCTCCTGGAGTTGGAGACCTCTTCACAGGGTGGAGGTGCCAGTGTCCAAATTGAAAAGTGGCCAAGTGGGACCGAGTACTGTGGCTCATGCCTGTAATCCTAGCTACTTGGGAAGTTGAGATTGGGAAGATCGAGGTTTGAGGCCAACCTGGGCAAATAGTTCACAAGACCCCCCCATCTGCAAAATAACCAGAGCAAAATGGATTGAAGGTGTGGTTCGAGTGGTAGAGCTGCTGCTTTGCAAGTGGGAAGCCCTGAGTTCAAACCCCAGTGCCACAAAACAAAACAAAAAACCAAAAACAACAAACAAACCAAACAAAGAAACACTAAAGAAAAGAAAACTGGCCAGGTGGGGAGAGAGAAAGATTCTTTGAACCAAGGCAGGGATATGTGAGCAGGAAGGGCTTAATGGGAACTGGGTGATCCCCATAATTCGCAATCTTTTTATTTTATTTATTTATTCATTTATTTTTACAATCTTTTTTTATCTTGTTTTTATAGCTATGTATCTCAGGCTGGCCTACCTCTACCTCTCAAGTGCCGTGCTTACAGGTGTGTGCCCCCCTTCCGTTCTTTGATGCAGCTGATGCATAAACACTCTCTGAAGTCCTATCCCTGCCGCAGTCAAAAGGGCGTATCCAAACCCCGCTACTGGCACCTGTCTCCACTCCTACTTGTTCAGGGCAGTAGAGGTTTTCCTCTTGCCCTAGGCAGGGGGAGGTCCTGATGTCTCCACCCTGGCTTGCCTTGTTCTTTGTGATCTGGCCTTGTCACACTCTTGGAACTGCCTTCCAGCCATCCTGTGAGCAATGCCCACTCCACGACACGCCCTCCACTCAGGCCTTGCCCCACGTTAGTGTCCCGGGCCGGGAGCGATCTCTTCCCTGTGTCCTTGCCCCCATGACAACTGCTGGCTACTCCTTCCTACCTGCATATCACCTCCTGCAACACTTTTCCTGGGAATGCCCACGAATGTGTTTTGGCCTCCTTGTATACATCCCTCTATTATTAGGGACATATAAAAACCTCATTTTTATCCTAATAGAACTTGCTGTCATATACGCATATGGTCGGTGCTAGCTGTGTCCCCCTAAGTGGGTCTCATGATAAACCTTTGTACGTGTGAATGAGCA